TTTTTTTTTTTTTTTTTTTCGTTCATTCTACTCGCAAGCAATTGACGCTACTTTCTAGTAACGGTATTAAAATGTTTGACAGTCGATACCATGTTTTTATATTACTTAAATTAATTAAGAATTTACTTGCTCGAAACAGGCGACTAATATTGCAATATTCTGCGGATACAGACTTTCTTAATCGATCTAAGAATCGAATCGTACGCGCAGCTAGTTAAGATACATCAATTGTATGCTACCCACGTGTCGCAGCGTCCACGAGAATTCTCTGGTCCAAATAAAACTTTTAAAACACTTTCGGCTACAGATCGTACATTAAAAGAACTTCTCTTTTAAATAAACTCGATTGTTTTATCGAACAGATAAATTTCTCATTTAGTATCGACTGATTTAAATAAATTCAAAATTTAATACTTACACGCATGCGTAAAAGCAGCGCTAAGCCCTTTTACTCTTATAATACGACAAAAATTATATTCCTCGATACACCAAACATTTTTTAATGGTTCTCCCGCTTTCTTCGATGGACGAATCAAAATAAAACCAAATCGGACGTCAATGGAGCTTGATTAAAAGATTGCGAAGGAAACACGAGTAAAAGGAATATCTTTCCCGCAACGTTATCGGACGATACCGCGCTCATATTCGAAATACTATAATTCGCGACGAGCAAACAGATTCGAACCTATCGATCGAGCATAATTTCCCGTTTATCCCTCGTTCTGATAATCCTCGATTAATATCATGTTCCCGAATATCGAGTATGAGCTTTTTGATGAAATCGCGCGTTAACTTAGGGGGAAAGTAAGGAGATCGAGGTCTGATCATGTTACTAATGGGAAGAAACAGGGAGTGATTATAGAGGGAGAGAAAAGAAGGAAAGTTGTATCGCGGCGTCAGGTGCGTACCTTGAAACAAGCAAGTCCCCTACAGATGTCTCCTGAGCGGCGGCTCGTGCTAGACTGCCGCCACCACAAAATCGCATGCGTCTGCTGGCTGAGACGGACTCGGCTGAGCTCGGTTGCGACCTCGTCGTCCGGCTGTTCGCTTGTCCGCTACACGGCGCCACGCTCCTCCGTCCATTCTGGGGCCGAATGGCCAAGCCGTCACCTCTCGGTTCCTTGTCGTTAGAGCGAATATGCTACTTTATTTATTTATCGACACGCCGTATCACGTTTACAGGATATCTCGCGCGTTACACGCTCCGATACGCCTCGCGTTATCACGAGGAACACCGGTTTTGCGGAGGAAAACACGCTGTTCTGCGTTCTCATCTTTTCGTATCTATTTACCGTCTGACATTGTATCGCTAGCATAGTCGTGTCGGGTTTAACATTGGAACCGCGTATATTTAAAACAAAAAAATGCGTGAGTAGGAGAAAAAATATTTAGTCGTGTTTCGTTATCCAAGGTTACGCGAAAGGTTAGGAAACATGGCATGTATAATGTCGAATAATTATTGTGCACAGTCCCCGCGTTAATCGCTGCTGAATTCGTTGCGATTTGTACTCAGCGATTGGAAAGCGCGTTAATTGCCAGTCATTCGCCTCTGTGTTGTGGGTCATCAGGCATCTCGTACGCTCCTCCCAAAGCATTACACGCCGGGTTGGGTGTCGTTGACGCTTCAGAGGAGTGTCTCGTGATCGCTAGATCCGCATCAATTGCTTATCAGCCGGAACACGTGTGCTTCGGAGCGTAGTTCGCGGTAATGGAGACGAAGATAATAGGTATTGCAACTTCATTGCTCGCACCGACTATAAACTCTGTTATATATTCTGCAGAGAAAAGCTACTTATACAGGATGTCTGATAGCTGGCGGTACAAGCGTGCAGGAGATAAATACACGTAAAAATAAGTAGAAAATGAAAAATGGATTTTAGTGTAGATTATCTCTTGCGTTATTCTATTAATCGATGTATTTAACATAGGTACAGAAATATCACAAATGTTTATGAACACGAATAGATACGATCTGCAGTGAAATTCATAGCATGGAAGCTTGAATAAAAGAATATATATTCCGTGAACCTCCAACCTCGATTTGCGCGAAGATAAAGCCAGAAACGAAAAAATTTTATTCTTTTCGCTTTATTTTTACATATAGACTCACTTCCTAATTGATTGTACCACCAGTTACCAGACGTTCCAATGTTGTATCGTTTAAAATTCGCTCGGAAATATTCTGGAATTATTCGGATTTAGATACATTAGTAAGTGTTCCAATTTTGAAATTTTAGCTTTAAGCTCAAAAGCTCGAGGTCGGAAGCTCGGTATCTCGCGAATCCGTGCACAGTCGCCGACTCAGTATTATTCTGGTCTGAAAAGCTCCGTTGTCATTGAAATATTTTTGGCTTATCGAGGCTGTAGGGCATCTCGATAAACCAGGGCTCAAAAGCTCGAGAATTATCCTACTATTTCGAGATTTGGTAGTATGGTTCCAAACTATTTCCATCATCATATATGTGGCAATTATCCTTTATACCTCGTTCGAACCCTATTGTCCCTGCGAATTTTATTTACTCGGGTAGTCAATTTTCTAACGGTCTAAGTTGGGCAATCCTAATTAGTTACTCTTTCTTCGTCTTCCGGCAAAGCGTTTACACTGCGCGATTCTTTCAGGTGGAAGGGAGGAAGAGACAATTCTACTGCTTCGCCTCTGTCTTCTCGAGGTACCAGCTCGTTATCCTTGATCGGTAACGCAATATGTGGCTCACGTAAAAGCGACACGTTAAAGCGACGAGCAAAAGAACGACCGAGTGTTGCCTTCTTGTCGCGCACGTTCGTCGGCATCTTCCATTTCAATACCTTTCTTTGATGGGCCTAATAGAATCCTCCGATCGCCACCTTCGTTGTCGGTAGCCATTGATCCATCATCGTCTCCGAACTTATAAATCAATATCGATAACATCTGTTACACGTTCCTTCTTAAAATACGAACTCTCGGTGTCTTCTTTGCTTTTCAATTACACGTGTTCTAGCTTTCTCGTATCTCGCAACTATTTCGATTAGTATTATTTTATAATATTTTTATTTTGCATACAATACGTTATGCTTTTACGCTATAATGGCGAGTCTGGTTTCGTGTCGAACCCTGTGAAAATAAATTAGAACATAAAGTTACAATTGTTCTTTTAAGAGGATTTAACGTGCAGAAAATTTGCATAAATTTGAAATACCTTTATAATCTTCTTGCGAACCAAATAGATATACAGTGGCTAATTAAAATTAAACAATGCCAAGTTCTTTATAATTAAATTGTAACGGAAGCGATTAATACTAGAACTATCGAAGGAATCAGTATGACTAGCTTCAGACTTTGTGTCTCTAATTGCAAACATTTTTTAGCTGCTTTTCGCGAAATTGATATTAATTCTTGCAGCCTAATGATGTATACCACTTCAACTATTACGAACATTATTTTATGCATTATATAAAATATATTAACCCTTTGCACTCGAGAGGCAACCTTCAATCGCCATTTCATCAGATTCTAAATATCCTTGTTAATTAACATATCGAACTTAAAAATACCCAACGATGCGTGGAATGTCGAGGTAGAATAATTCTACGCCTTAATTTGTATATGATTTCTTACCGCTTTAAAAATATTCTGACTTTATGGCAGACAAAATTACTATTTTTCTGTAACGAAAAAATCGTCGAGTGCAAAAGGTTAAACTATTCTATATCTTACACATTATTCCATACTATTGTATTCGCATTATTCATGAGAAACGAAAGAACGAAAAACGGATCGTTGCAAATTTACGCAATTTCTGAAGCTGTTTCGCCTTTATCGCTAGTTCTCGCGTTAATTTCTCCGACGTGTACATCTTTCTGTATTTTCATAATGGTTCGCTGATTCGAGAGGATCCAAGCCGTAAAACCGGAGTAGTTTACGGTGTCGCGCTCATGGTTCTCGCGCAATTACGGGGGATCGTGGTCGATCGATACGAGGTGAAAGCAAACTGTGCACCTCGAGATGCAGAGGAAAAAGTCGAAGGCGAGATGAGAACCGACAACGGGTGTCTACGACGAGCGCCTCTCTTCTACGTCGCTTCGTTCTAATTAACGTCTCCTTAAACGCCTGACGCGGCAGTTCAACGCTGCTCATTGACGTCGACGCTGCTTCCGCATGATGGGTCGACTGCATTTTTCTCCGGGCCCAATTACACCTCGCCTGGTACGAGCGAATCCATTTTTCTCGTCCGGTTACGACACTCAACGGGGGATCCCGCGACGCAGATCTGCACCGGACAACTCCAGATCCCCTCGATGACAAGGCTGCAAAAAACGAGCAGAGTCAGAAGCGAAGAATGCTGCCCTCATACCACGCTTCGAGAAACCTCGCTTACCAGTAGGGATATGTGTGTCGATAATCGGCACGGTAGGTTGATTAATGTCTACCATTAACTGGTAGTCTTGGAATTTATTAACATACAATATTCATCGTGTTACCTCTAACTCGAGATATCCCCGACATCTCATGATGGAAAATTAATGCTTCGTCTTTCCAACTCGAGGGTCTTTACTCGCCAGGTTAAAGTCCATCGGCATCCACTCGTGATTCTAAAATCATTGTCTAGGTCTGATCTGGCCCGAGTTTTAACGCAGGATTACCTCGAGTCCGGGACCAAGGAAGAAAATGAAAGACGCTCCAGGAGTTGAAAAGGAAAGGGCAGAAACGAGTGGAGTTATCTGGAATCATAAATGGTTGTATAATAATCTCTGACGCTCGGTATATTTCATCGTCGGGTATATTTGTGCGCCGATTATGGCGGACAACAGGTGAGGACACGAGCTGATCTGGTGGGATAAGGTTTGAGGGTCACGCGCCGCCTCGGAAGGTCCGTGACTGAAAAGCTAACCGGTCCTGAGCGCCCCGCCAATCCCGGTGAGTCGTAGGAAACGTATAGTGTATACTACGGCCCTGGCCGCCAGAGTTCCTCCTAAATTTCCGCATTGCTCGATCACTTACCGACCGACAGTTCCTTCCGATCGATCCTCGACACCGATCACAGACGTTATTGAAATTAAGAGACTCGGTAACTGGGGACAGGGGCCTTCGAATCGAAACAAGAAGACGGGCCTTGAGAAGTACCATACGTGTCGAACGCCTCGAGTTCGTTTCTGACGAATCGTTTCCTTCGCTAGTCACCGCATACATATGTTTCCATTCGACAAGTTTTTCGTTCGACGAAGGATATCGCGAGCTTCTTTATAATGTTCGTCTGGCTTTGTTCGCGAGATGTTAAGAGGGTTCAACGGCACGAAAATTCAAGTTCAACGATGTATTTTCGGTGTTGCGTTTTTTCCCCAAATGAAGAGGGTGGGGGAACATCAAATATCATAGGACGAGAGGATTCATCGTGAAACGTTTCGCATGCAGAGTGTTTGATCGTTTAACGATCCTGTTTCCCGTGCGTTCGTAATGATAAAGCAAACCATTATGCCGCGATGAAACGGAGAGTCTGCGTCGATAAATGAAAAGTCAATGAGCCTGGCCGCCGAGCCGTGACCATGGTCACGTAGTCTGTTGAGAAATTATTACGCACCAAACCCTTCGTTGTAATCTTTCTATTGTTGAGAAATCCACTTTCAAAGTTCGTAAACACAGTTAGTAATTGTCTTACAATTATGTGTACCTAAATTTGGAATGAGTTGTCCATGATTATTGTTAACATAATACAAATAATACCTCAAATGTCTTGCCGCTCTTTTTTATTTGCATGACCATTAATGAAAGGCCAAGGGACGTTGTGTATTTCGTAGAAGCAGCGATTGTGTCAAACTTTATTAGAACTTGGGCTCGCCGTCACCGAACGACTCGATGTGGACGGTATCGAATTGTGATGAGGTCGATCTACATTAAAGTCAATTGATATGATCTACATTCGCCTTTGATCACGTGTTCGCGATCGTTGATGCTCCCTATCGAACTTAGGTCGTCACACGCAAATGCGTGTGGCGCCATAACATTGTAGTTAGGTTATGTGAATATCGACAAAGTTCCTACTATGCGGAAATCGATAAACAGCATTCTGTTTGCGTATTACCTGTTTGTTTTAAAAGGAAGTCATACCATTAAATCCCAATGCCAAGTTTCAATAGTAACATAAAAGGCTAATACCGAGATTTGATTCGTTCGTATAAATCACTGCCGTAAAAAGTCTAGGCACTGCTCCAAATCGAATAGGTTACCGTGCTGACATCTATACACTTAATTTACCTGTTTGCATACGAAGTAACATTGTTTCCAATAAAGACCAGGAAGTTCTTCGAACGATTGGTGAATTGAAAGGAAGGGTATCGAGATGATTGTTAAAAATCGTTCGATACGGTCGTTATCTGGAAAATGATCGAGTTTTACAAGAACGATTCGATTGGTCGTAGGGTTTTCAGTTATGGAAACCACCGATGTCATTCCTGATCATCCAAGAATTTTAACATCGATTTATAGTTATTGAAAATGAACTTGCCATCCAGTCGATTTAAATGTTGTAAATTCACATTTTTGATTAAGTGATATGTATACCTTGAATGTTATGTTTACTTGCAACTAGTTATGTTTTATGCTTTTTTCCTAAACTTCTAATTAATTATTTTGAAAAGAAGTGGAAGTTAGGAATAATAAGATTATTAGAGGTTAAGATGATTAAGGGGCCATTTTTTCGGTGAGAAATTTTGAAATTTGTGTATTAAAATATTACTCGCTTCTAGCATAACACATCCATATTTGCCTATAGTGAATAAGATTTATCCCTGCATTTGAACCTTATAAATTAAATTTTGTAAAATCACGAAATGAAGCGATTTTAATGTCATCCAAGTTTTTCTAATGTCTAATTTTACCTTCCTCAGACGCATATGTAAGATATCTCTTATCATACCTGGCACTATAAATAGTTCCACAATGAAAAATGATTCACGCAAAAAAACGAAAATGAAAGTACAACTATAGCAAAGACCAGAATATTGAACACTACCGTAATCGTGACTTGCTCTTATCACGTCGCTGTGTCCACTACCATGATTAGTAGTCCGCACGCACAGATATACATATTGTTCCTACGAAAAGTAACTGCAAGGTCAATGAAGAGGATACGTGCGAATGACAATGCGACTCGAATATTAAAAGCGTTAGCATGATGATGAAAAACACTTCCACGTTCTGTTAAACTTAATTCGAGTTTTGTTTACAAACGAGGCACCAGATTATACTAGTCTGATTCGTTTTGTATTGCGTTTTCCCCTATATACGATCTTAACACTTTTATGGCAGGTATTCTATTATGTGTGACTTCAGCTATATAAAATATTCATACATGATAATAGATATTTTTTATAAATAAAAGAATATAGTTATTTAATAAATTAATATTTAAGTTTTAATAGTTAGTATAAAAAAATTGTTACAATGATCAATACTATTTGTGCGACAACAAAAAATGCTCGTGGATAACAAAAATCACGCTTACTTGTTGCTCGCGGTGAAAGTGTTAAGAAAATAAAATAAAAATGACTGTCGTAATGATTGCAAATTTAAGCACTTTTTGGTGTTCCTTTTTTAGGTTCCAATGAACGAGGTGGATTTCAACATCTTATGGATAGGGAACCATCCAAAGCCAGACATTCTACGGAACTTAATGCCTCACCAAAAAGTGAACCATTTTCCAAGGTACGCAGAATCGATTGGCATTTGCGCGGGAAAATAACTGTTCAGCTTCGAAAAGAATTTTGCAATGAATTATCATAGTTGAATTGATAAAGTTAAAAGTGACGATTTTGACTATCGATCGTTTTTTTTTTGTAGATCATACGAAATAACCCGTAAGGATCGATTATACAAGAATATAGAGGCAATGCAGAGGAGCAAGGGTCTACGAAATCTGGATTTTATACCGCAAACGTTTCTGCTACCTAGCGAATCCAGGGAATTACTCACCGCTCATTTCAGGTATCGCGGGCCCTGGATTGTCAAACCCAAAGCCAGTTCCCGCGGACGTGGCATTTATATTGTTAACAGTGTGAGCATAATAATTTCTAGGTATGAATTTAGATAACGTGGCCTGCACCTGCATGCTTGTTTCCACACACCGCCATAAACGGTCATACTTAATATTGTGGCAAGAAAATTCATATTACAAACGTTATTACGTACCTCTTTTTATGCTAGAATTAACTTCAAGTATCAATAAAAACGTAGTAATATTTTTCTGAATTTTGCTACATGTATTGAGATTATACTGTTGATTTCGGACGATGCATGTTACGTGTTTGCAGCCTGAAAAAATTCTTACGGACGAATCTGTGATCGTTGCACAATACATAAACAATCCGCTTCTGGTCGATGGGCACAAATGTGACTTACGGCTGTACGTAGCTGTCACGAACTATGATCCGCTGTTGATCTACCTGTACGAAGAGGGCTTAGTGAGATTCGCCACGGTGAAATATGATGGCGGCAACCAATATATATGGAACCCCTGTATGCATTTATGCAATTATAGCATCAATAAATTTCACGTGGATTACATAAAGTAAGCAGATTCATTTTCACTGTATGTACCTTATCTAGAGGTGGATTAATCCATTATCGTAAATTATTTTGCAGGAGTGAAGATCCGGATGCGGAGGATGTAGGACATAAATGGACCTTATCAGCATTATTAAGGCATCTACGTTCGATGGGTCAGGACACAGAATTACTTATGCAACGCATAGAGGATATTATAATAAAATCGATTCTTGCGACTGCTTCTGGGATCGTTAGTGGAATTAAACAATTTGTGAAACATCCAGAAGCTTGTTTTGGTAATCTTTGGTTACTGCTTTGTTGAATATAAAATATATGATTAAAAATTCTGATAAGTTACATACATTATTTTAGAATTATTTGGATTTGATATTTTAATCGACGATACCTTGAAACCATGGTTATTAGAAGTCAATTTAACTCCATCTTTGGGCTGCGACTCACCGCTCGATGTTAGATTAAAATCAGCATTAATTGCCGATTTACTTACTCTAGTTGGTATACCTGCGATTGATCCGATGTTACGACCTCAAAGTACGCACGTGAATCGATCCACAGTGACTTCTACTAAAAGAATAGTTAACGTAAGTTTTTTGTTCTGAGTCCTTGACTGATTATCAAGTCATGGTAAAATAAGGTAGGATTTCGTTGTTTCTAGTGTAGAAGAGTACACTCGGCTGAGACATTATCCCAAAGAAAGAAGAATACAAGTAAAAGTAATATTAATAAATCAGGATTAACAACCGAACAACAACGAATAGTAGCATCTGCAAAAGCCCAATTCGAACGACGTGGTGGATTTGTCCGTATATTTCCAAGTCCAAAATCGTGGGAAATGTACTCCCAATATTTAGGTACATGTTTAACAGCAAGTTTTAGTTTACTATATTTTGATTATTAATATACTGAATATTATATTTTATTTGCAGATTCAACCACGGGAATTCCAATAGTTTCAGATCCCTTAGGACCAGGCAAAGTTCCACATCAAATTAATACAAATCATAATTTAATGTTACATGAGCAATTATTTCCCGCAGCGAGTCGTGCTACAGACTTTATTATTCCTGAAGTTACCTTGGACAGATTGTCTAGGTACTTTTGTGAAAATAATATAAAATTTTAAAATATACGCTCAAATATTAGTATAAATCGGTATAACTCATTACAGATATGAAAGATATGAGAGAGCTTTAGTAAAAGGGCATAAACAAAGCTTAGATCGCGGCCACAGCAAAGAGAATATGGATACGGATAAACATAAATATAAAAGTCAGGTGGTACAGTCTATGCATGAAGGAAATAAACTTAGGTTAGTTATATGACCATTCAATCCGGGTCCCGACATCATCGAATTTACAAATATTTCATACAATACATAGTTAATGAAATTTTTAGTCCTGGAGAAGCTAGAAAGGCCTTTGGTATATATTTAGGACATATATTACATAAAATATCACAACCTAATGCGGATCCAGAATGCTGCGACCTTGTGATGAAATTTCTTCAGCAGTCAGCTAGTAATTTAAGGACACCATTCTTTTTTACGGTAAGTTACGAAAGCATGTTGTGTTGACTTTGATATGTTGTAATTAAATTATTTATCTATACAGTTACCAAGTAGTAAATTGAGCGATAAAGATCGTGCTGCTGTTACGGCTAAGCAGCTCTCAGACTTTTTACATTTATACAATCGGGAAACAGATCTTTACGCGGATACAGTTGACCGCCCACGCACTGTTCCGAATCGTCTGTTCCAAAAATTCTTAGCCGCAGCAAGGTGAGTTCATATTTAATCTTTTATACAATCGTATTTAATTATCATATTTAATTGTTATTGATACTTTTTAATACGTGTTATTTAATTATTAAATAGCGAGCAAGATCTCGACGATATATTAATTCTACAAACGAGGTTATATAAATGCGCTCACAGTTTTTTGGGAAGGAGCGGTTTCGCAGGAAGCTTACCTGGTCCTAATTTATTGGGTTCTTTACCCCATATTACATCTCGCGTATATTCTAATGCCGTAACCAGCGAACAATGCAAATGTAATCAATCATCAATCACTAGGCCTACAAAAGCTGCACGTACCTAGTTGTACAATGTGTGAATATTTGTTATAGATATGTTTGCTCGTTAAAAGTACTATGTACGGCTGCTCTAGGACTTCCCAGTACAAGTGGACAATCATCCACGTATATATAATCGTAACGTTTCCCATATAATTATAGCACAGAAAATTGTCACAAAACTAATATTTTGGGTACGCTTGAAAAGCGCTTTAATATTCGCTTATTTATTATAAGGTAGGAGAGTAAAAAGTTCATTATACGATACTTCCAACGAATAATATCTTGAGCCTTCTTAAAGAAGTTTTCTTAGTCTCTCCAGTCGAGTTAATATTCTCACATAACGATTTTACCTTAAAACTAGTCTTCAACATCAAAGATTCGTCGAAGCTAGATATGAAATAATCTTAAAATAGAAACTCGCGGATTTAGGTTTAACGAGTTTTATCGTATAAAACACGTGGCCAATTAAAATTGAATCGTTTTAAGATAAAGCAGGAATCATATAAAATAAATAATTAAATTAATAAATTTTAATGGAGATGCGTTATCGGCCTACGTAATAGGTCATTAATATTTACTTCTTGAAATGATATCATGCCGAGTTCATTGGTCGTGAAAATTATTTTACAACTCATACAAAAATAATTAGTTTGTTATATTTCTTTTTTTATTACCTGTAGCATCGAATATGTCATTTTATACAAAGTAATACAATAATTAATTTCATTTACTTAAAATATAAGTCCATTTACCACAAATTTAAGAAGTATCTTAGTAATTAATTAATAACATTTTTAACAGTTTTATCAGAGATGTTCCTATTTAAGTTATATGTTTATTAAAATTAAAACAAACATGTTTATTTGTATAAACTTGTGTTTTAGATGCCTTTTTGCGTCTAGTCAAGTTGAAGGCAGAGACACATAAAAGTAACACTTTCTTTTTTTTGCAATTATTTGTTGTTCGTTATAATTTACTTAATAACATTTTGTTTGACAATTTAAATTCGTCCATAAAGGATCTAGAAATAGACGTAAGATATAGTAGTTAGAAAGTTACATACAAATATTCAACGAATTGAATTTTTGCGAGCGTATAGTTCGTACAAAAAAAATCGATTTAGGAATTTTTTTGAGATCAACTTTTCGAAATGCAATAAATACGGACGATCAATAAATTTGAAGTAGAGTCGATATAAGATACAAAATGTACTTTGTATAGTAATAGTAGTACACCTTGTACAATGATTTTGAGTCATGACTCGGTAAAACGCCTAATAATATTAAGTTATGTGCATTCGATTTGAAACAAGAAAAGAAAAGAAAATCATGTACCACGGTTTTCACGACGTGGTTGCTAAATGGAAAATGGAAAATATTTGTCGATACGATTGGCGGGAACCAATCCATTAGATTAAAATCATCGTATAGGTCTTATCCATCCATATAATGCCGTCAGTATTTAATACAAGAATTTACAGCTTATTCTTCCAAAAAATATGTCATTTGCATTTTACAAGCTTTATAATATTGCACGCGACAAAGAAGAGAAATAATGTATTTTTCAATTTGTGTTATTAGAGTGAAATACGAATTATTGGTACATGCGAATTCAACTCACTTGCTGTGATACAACCGCATACGACGATATAGGTATCAGTTGAGCGCAGTATCTTTGACTCAATGGCATTCAATATATGACATGTTATCTTAGTGGGTTGATCTCACACGAGACAAAGGTCTTAACATTGTATCCCTTGCTAAGCACAAAGGAAGACTACTACGTTCATTATAACACGAAAAAATATTGTTACTGCATAATTGTATTCCTAGCGTGACACGTTTATAATCAGTTAAGCGGTATGTTATCAATGTTTTGTAGTTTATTGTATCTACCTAAAATTTACTTATACAACTTGTACAACGAGTAGGTTTAAAAATACGGTTCTAAATGCGTGTTGATCATGTTTATTTTGTTTTATTCTGTTGAGGTGCATATTTTTCTTATTAATTCTTATTTGTAACGTAACGTATATCGTGTTTGTATAAGTTCGCGAAGTATTATTTCGTGTATATATTTATTGTAATCCGAACAATTATTTATGTACACCGAATTTTAGTTCGTACAATATTATTTTTTTTTATGTCACATCACGCATTACATTTCATTGTCCGAATTTATATCTACATCTAATATCATAATCAGCAGAATATTTTGCAGCAAAATATTTGAGCATATCAGCTTGATGCTCGCTATTTGCGTCCATCCTAAATGTATAAAATATTGGTATCTTAAAACAAGATTGTTGTACTGCCATTATTTTATAAACATATCTTTTCTTTATAATTTATAATTGTAATGTACTTTTTATATCATGAGTACTTTTATTTAAGTAGAAATATTTTATGTATTCGAAACGTAAATCGTATAAAGTAAAAAATGTACAATAATTTCACTTATTTTTTAAGATTATTATTAATTACTATTATTTCAGTGAAAAACAACATCAAAAAACAATCTGATCATATTCATACGCTTTTCAAACATTTCTTAATTTCTTAAAGTGCATCTAATGATAAATATAAAATCTTAGCGAGAAAAAAAATATTTAAATAAAAATTATCAAAAGGTCAAAAGAAGACACGAAAATTTAGGAAGCTTTTTAATGTACAGCTAATATATAATTAACGTATCATTTTTGCACTTAAATGTTCACAATGTGTTAAGTCAAATACCTTTCGTATTCATGTAACGTTTTCTTATTGTGTAACTTTCCGTATTCTGTATTTTGTGATGCGAATTACTTATTATGTTATAATGATGCATGATTGACAAATTTTTGAAAGATATAGATATCGATTCGTGCGCAAAATATCCGATTAAATTTGATCTTATCTATGAAACATTCAAGTTTGTCTTTAACTCTTATGCAGTAAGTTTGTTGAAAAGTTCCATCTTATAAACTTTAATTACATAGGAACGTTGAACCTAAACAATAGTGAAATCGTCAGGGACGGTGAAATTAGCAGATGTACATAAAAAGGAAATTGTTATTACATACCTCTGTTGCATGTGCAACACTCCCTTCCTACCTGTGATTTGTAAAATTTACTAGTCAGCTTACTGCATTTATTATAAATAAAATATTGTAAGAAAGCAATGTATAACTATTTTAACTATGTATGTATAACTATATATAACTGTTTTATTATAATTATCGAATATAAAAAATATGATAATGTTACTCGGAAATATAACAACATCAAAACGTCGACAAAAAATATTAAATATAACAAATTACAGTGAAGTAAATTTATTATTGTTGAAATGTATTGTTAGGTGGGTTGTTATATGACCGAGTACTATACAGCCTTCTTAGATTTTAAATATTTAAATGATACCGAAAGGTGTCGATATGTACCTACAAGCATACTTATTTTCGCATTGTAAAATTGTCTTTAAATTCAAGTATTCGAAATAAAACAATAAAGAAAGATTTCACATTATCTTAATTAAAGACATAATTTATATGGAAACTCAAACTGTATAAACGCTCTTTTTAATTCACTAATTTCACCGCTAGTTGGTGTTCAAACTCGAATATTTTCCCCCATGTTTTCCCTAGGAATTAAAATAGTGAATATTACGATGGAACAACACTTTCCGTTGGTTTGTCCATAAAAATTTGCTAGTATCATCATGTCGGAGAGAGTTATGTGAAATTTAAGAAATTATCAGAATTGTACAATAATATCTAAATGAAATAAATTTAAGTAAATGAATTGTGTACATTACATGTATGTAACGATATTCTTGTCCCTGCTTTTCCTTTGGTTGTGCAACGAAATTAATCGGCGCGAAAATGTCACGTAAAGGACTGAAAATTTGTAAACATTTATGACGATGATTACTAAATAAGAAATTCAATTAATTTTGTTTCTTTTCTAAGCAATTCTTAAAAAATAATGAATCAAAGTAATAATTTAGATCGTTAAAAAACAATGTATCAAATAATTTGATAAGTACAGTGTTTCGTAGTTTAGAAGAAAATGAAATTCTGACACTAACAAAGTTTGATTTGTAATTTCTATTTCATTAATTTGTGCATGTAAAGTGTGAAGATTACAGCGTTTATATTTTTATAGATATATTTTCTTTTTGTAAGTATATGTTTACTAGATCTTAATAAAGTCAATATAGTTATACTTTTAATAGAAATTATAACAGATATATTCAGTCCTTGTATTTAACATTCTAGGTACAATGGAATCTGAAAATTCTGTTATGTTAGAATCATGTGGAGAGCATTCAATTTTAATTCAAACTGTAAAAAATATGGTTAATGAAAATACACGTACGGAATTAGAAAGTGAGGAAGAAGGATTTTTTGTAGTAACAGATGTTCAGGATGAACAACAAAATGTAATAGAAGTATCAAATGAAGAATCAACAGTAACACAGTTAGATGAACAATTTTCTTGGTCTAATTTATGCAGAGTATGTGCTAATACCAATGATCATTTAATTCCAATATTTGAAGGAGAAGGTTTACAACATGACTTATGTAATAAGATACATAGATATCTACCCATATGTGTATGCATTTATTTATTAATTTATGAAATGTTCATATGTATGGAATGTTAGATTTACATAAGTGGTCTTTTATAGATATCTGAAAGTGATACACTACCATTACAGTTATGTTACCATTGTGCTGCTACCTTATTAGCATGGCATGAACTATTAGAAGGATGTTTGAATGCAGAAAGAAGATTATTAGAGATTCAAGATACATTACAAGAAAAACAGGTATATGTAAATATAAAATGGATACATCATCATTTTAGACATTTCAAAGCAAACTGATTTAGAAGAATTACATTAATTCTATAGGGTTCTGAAGGACTAGAGACTTCTACACAGGATACAACATGTGTGTCTAACATAACAGAATCACTTGTAAGTATAAAAATGGCAAATAATTGATATATATATGCATACTCACATACATATGTATGTATATATATATATATATATATACCAAAAATGCTTTTTTTAATTATAGCATCAACAGCAAGAAACTGTAAAGGATGAAGTTTCTGGGGATTCAGGAGTTAATGATTCAGACAGGTAATGATTTCCTTTATTTAAAAAAAAATATAGAAATTATTAACATATTGGAATTATGCAACATGTATAATTGAACGTGCAGAAAATATGCCCACTATAAATAATGTTAAACTCAGTAGTTAAAATTTTTATAAAATCAATTGTAATAACAAATACGGAATGGATAAACAAATTTTTAATACAAATGAAACAAATACTCTTAAAGAATATTTTATATATTAACTATTTCAATTTGGAGTATGGAACAAGGATTACTATGGTTTTTTTCAATCAAAGCATTTACATATAATTATACACAAAGACTATTGCAAGTGGTCTATACAAACGCCTCGAGAAAATGATGTATGACAATGAAATTAAGGATTATCAAGAAAGATATTCCTAACTTTCTCAAGTGCCATTGATAATTGGATTGAACAAGAACAATCTTCTACATCATATTAGCTGCAAATCCGGAGTCAAGTATTGACTGTTTTGCAGGTCCAGTAGTATGCGAACACCGTTTAAGGTGTACCTAGATATGCAGAATGTATTTCGGAAGCCACACAGAAAAAAGTTCCAGCTTCAAGAAAGAAAGTCTACAGACAATGGAGATTGCGATTCGGTGTGGATTACTGTCATGAATTCAACACTTGATCAACCTGCTATAATGTCTGATCAACTACAAGATAATGATGTTACCATAAAGGAAGAGGTTTCTCAGATGTATACTACAGATAGTTTAGAAAAACTAAAACTAAACGACAAAACATACAAATCAACAGATTCTTCAAATATGAAAAATGGAAGTAAAAAAGTAAAAGGAAAATGTAAAATTTGTTCTAGCGATACAAAAGTTTCGAAAGATCCTTGCGAACATATAAAAAATAAAACTGCCATTGACATTCAAGAATCTTACCAATGCATTGAATGTGGAAAATGTTTTAAATTAAAAGATTCTTTTCTTAGACATATGAGGATACATACAGATGAAAGGCCGTTCACTTGTCATGTGTGTGGAAAACAATTTAGGGATTCTGGTGGCCTCTCTAGACATTTAAAAGATGTACACGCAAAAGTAAAAAATTTTACGTGTGATATATGTGGAAAATCTTTCGCATCGAAAGCTACGAGGGAAGATCATCGTCGAACACATACAGGAGAAAGGCCTTATGTATGTGACTCATGTGGGAAAACGTTTAAATCGAAAGCTTCTTTATATATTCATAGTAAATTACATACAGATGAATTTCCACATCCATGCTCTTATTGTAATAAAAAGTTTCGTAGAAGACAGGAAATGCTGGCTCATGTAACTACTCATACAGGAGAAAAGAATTATGTTTGCGATGTGTGTTCGAAAAGATTTCGAGTGAAATCAGAACTCGTTAGACATAAGTTAATTCACTCTGAAACTAAACCCTTTGTTTGCGTGGAATGTGGACTCGCCTTTCGACAGAAACGTTACTTGAATAATCATATTAAAAGCAGACACATTGAAACATTACGAGCATGCTAATATGCGATCTTATCATTTTGCTGTACACAGATAATTCTTCGAATTTAGCAATAAACAGGAAGCATTCAAATCTGGTACATTTATTATTTTTCCAGGTTTGGTCTACCTCAGAAGAAATCCTTCACGGCATACTGCTTGTGGCAGCAAACATTCAGTGAAACGAACTCAAAAGACAATATAAAAGAAAAAGTTAATGACAATGTGGATAGCGTTAATTCATTTGATAGTTATTATGATACAAGTTTAAATATGATAGAAATGATGAAAGCAATGTTACCTTCTGTGAAAAAAATAAATAGCTCATCAAATAATCAATATACATGTAAAGATTGTCAACAAACTTTTATAAAAGAAAGTTACTTTACGCAACATATGTCTGAATGTAGAAGTATAACTAAAAACTCCACTGATCAAAATATATTAAATGTAAAAGAGTCCAACAAACTAGAAGATAATATAATTATAAAAGATGAAAATCAGAAAAATTTGAAATCGTTTCAAAAATGTAAAAGAAATAAACTCGAAACTTATCCATGCATGTATTGTGATTACACAGTCAAACGGAAAAAAATGCTCGAGTTACATTTAATGGAATTACATTCGGAGTTTGTCGGAAAAAAAGATAAAAAATTAAGATGTGCTGATCGAGAAATGGTAATGCGTGCTAAAATGGAAATTGACGGAAAGGTTTATTATCACTGTAATGAATGTGGTAAAAATCTTTATTCGCCATATACGTTCTTTTGGCATGTGCGAATACATACTGGGGAAAGACCATATACGTGTCATCTTTGTGGCAAGCAATTTCGTGTATCTCAGGGGCTAGCGAGACATTTACGAGATACACATGCAGGCATCAAAAATTTCCCGTGTGATATTTGCGGTCGAATGTTTTCAACAAAACGTAGCGTAGAAGATCATAGACGTATCCATACTGGTGAACGACCATACATTTGTAATATTTGCGGGAAATCATTCAAGCAAAAAGCCTCTCTCTTCGTACATAACCGGACTCACTCAGATGTATTTCCCTTTAAGTGTAATTATTGTAATCAGAACTTTCGAACGAAACCGTCGCTGATACTTCATATAACCAAGCATACGGGTGAAAAACCACATGCATGTGACATATGCGGCCGATGTTTTCGTATAAAATATGAGTTGAAGCGTCATCGTTTAATTCACTTTGATAATAAACCGTGGAAATGCACAGAATGCAATCTCTCGTTCCGTCAAAAACGCTACTTAGTTAATCATAAGAAAATAAATCACAATACAAGCCCATTCGTGGCTGTCATGAAATAATGGAGAAAACTCTCTTTTCAGGTATAAATATCGAGTCATCGAAAGCAATGCAAAAAGCGAGTCAGGCAATTCGTTTGGTAATGAACATACGAGAAAACAAAATAATAATTTCGCGATACAAACACGTTCTGAAACTGATCTTGTTGTTAACCGAAAATCAAGAACACGATTAAAAGAGAACTCAGGAACTGCTTCTAAAAAATGTACAAAACACATAGCATCGAAGCGAACTTTGGAACAACGAAATGAATTAGTTCATTCAAAAGTAATAGTAAATGGATTCACATATTATAAATGTCAAGATTGTGGGAAGATGGTTTCGACCTCGTACAATTTCCTAATTCATCGAAATACTCACACAGGAGAAAAGCCATATACCTGTCATATTTGCGGGAAAAGCTTTTGTTCAGCATCTGGTTTGAATAGACATACGCGTGACGTACACGCAGGGATAAAGAAATTTGCTTGTGATATATGTGGCCGATGTTTAGCCTCCAAAGCTTCACGAGATGAGCATAGAAGAACCCATACAGGAGAAAGACCCCATGTATGTGAAACTTGCGGAAAGTCGTTCAAACAGAAGGCATCTCTGCACGTTCATAAATCATTTCATTCAAAAATTCTCTCGCACGAATGCTCCTTATGCGATCAAAGTTTTAAGAGAAAACAAGAGTTAGATAAACATATTTTCATTCATACCGAACAGAAACCTTATTCTTGCGATATCTGTGGCAAACAGTTTCGTAGTAAAGGCTGTATTAGTCGTCATAAACGTATTCATAATAATCAAAGATCGTACATTTGTCCCGTATGCAATGCGAAATTCAGCCAAGAACGTTACTTGAAGAGTCACAGCAAGAATATGCATAAAACTTTGCATTCGGTGACATGATATCGGAATGTTTATTTTGCAGGTGGAAAGCCGAGTCTGATGCTGTTATGCAAATATCGACGGTTGAAAGCGAAAGTACAAATGCTGAGGAGGTTGAATACATCCAGTGCACTCAATGTGATATTGTTTTCGTAGATATGAAATACTTTATAGATCATATGAACGCTGAGCATGAAGCTCAAATGCATTATTGTCATTATTGTAAGCTAGTGTATCATGGTCAAGAAAAAGATTTTGAGGATCACATATCAATGCATGGTAATAGTTACAATGAATTCAAAAATACCACAGGAGATGAAATCTTAGAATGTGTAAATAAAACAAAAAAAGCAGACAAGAGTCTTGAAAAAACTTCTACTGCAGATAATGAAAAGCCTATGTGTTATACATGCAACTTATGTGAAAGGAACTTCGCAAAGAAATCTGAATTAAAAAAGCACATAAACAAACATTCCGATATCAATCGAATCCAAAATTCAGATGAAACAGAGCTTGTAAATAAGGCGAAACAAATAATCAATGATCGCGTTTCTTACAAGTGTGATACATGTAAAAAGATTATATTTACGAAACGGGGATTTCTACGTCATATACGTGTCCACTCTGATAAACGACCTTGTAAATGCAACTTATGTGGAAAATCGTACCGTATCGAACAAGATTTGGCTAGGCATATACGGGACGTTCACGAAGGACTAAAAAAATATGCTTGTGACATTTGCGGTCGCGCTTTTGCAAATAAAGGAGCAAAGGATGATCATCGTAGAATTCACACCGGTGAACGTCCATACGCATGTGAACATTGCCCAAAAATGTTTCGAACTCTCAATTCTATTTATATTCATAATCGTGTACATACAGATTATAAACCTCATAAATGTACGTATTGTGGAAAACATTTTAGAAGTAGGCAGAGACTAACTCATCATGAAACTACGCATACAGGCATTAAAGCTTTTGCCTGCGAAATCTGCGGAAAAACGTTTTCTGTTAAGGGAGAAGTCGTTCGACATCGCGCGATACATAATGAAGAAAAACCTTTCGATTGTAAATGCGGTATGAAATTCGGCCAGAAAAGATACCTGAGAAACCATATAAAACAGCATCATAAAGAAGCGTCCTCGTGGTTGTTAGCTGAGTTATTGGGAAATAATAACTAAAGCGCAAATCGTTAAAAATAACTACGCCTTAACAAAATTTTGTACGAATATTATAGAAGATAAAATGTACAGTTAGAAACCTGTATTTTATTTCTTATGTTGATTTTGTATTCTGAATCTAAAATATACATCGAAAATTAATGAAATTATATTGTAACGATATATTGAAGAATATATATATAATATATATATCTGTGTTGTATCTATACAAGTTAAATTACTTCAAATTTGTTTATACAAAACGAATAAAATTTGTGTATTAAATAGAAACTTAAAATGATGTAAAGTAAACAGATAATATTATCATAGTTTCTTTTTAAACTAAACCTTTTTTTAACTATTTAATATATTATCTCACATTTAATTGTGTAGCATTGTTGAAAAATGCTTAAGTCAATATGATATATTCAGTTGCTGTGATATGATTTCAAATTATGAATCCAATGTATGTATATATATATATGTATCATACATAGAGTAAAATACATGAATATAGTAAATGTAAATTTTATAATCAAAACAATTTTTATGGAGGTTAATCTCAGGAATTATACATATATGTATGTATATGTACATGGAAAAAGTAAATCATGCTTTTTATTTCTTTATCACTTTAATAACATGTACTGTCTTAAACCTATTGAAGATAATAAAGAAGTAATATAAAAAAAAATATATATATATCTATCTATATTTTATAATGTATAAAAATAATAGAAAACTCTGGAAAAAATGATGTATGTATATAAAAATACATAATACTGTTATGTTGTTTGCTTATCCTCTTTTTTTTTTTTTAATTTCTTTTTTTATGTGATGGAGTAGCAATTTTTTAATTTTTTGTGTCAATACCTGTAACATTTTTTATATATTATGTTAATGTAATTTTTCTTACAATTTATATATTTTGTATTTATAGTTTTACTTTTCTTACATTTATATATATTTCATCTTTTCAATGATTTCTGATATATACTTTTTTCCCCATAAAAGTATCTTTCTTATTATTTTCACTTATAACAAGTTTGCTAATATCAATACTTTTCAATAAAATATCAATATTTTCTATGTTTAATCGTTCCAAATTCTTAGTAAGTTGTGAAACGGTTGTAGGTTTCCTTTTCCTTATTTTGTGTTTCTAACCGAGAAAATACAGAATATACATATAGTTATAATAAAATGTTTACACATTTGTATGAATATAATAACTAACAAAATTATTCCTTGTGCTTGAATGCCATGTATCTTTTTTCTGAAGGTTTTGTATTCTTTTCCGTTCAGCTATTTTAAATTCCTTTCTTTGAGATTTTGTACCTCCCATTAAACATCGTATAATATTTCTTTTCTCAGTGCTTTTCCAAGGTTCATATGTTGCTACATCTTCCTTTGGTATTAAAAAATTGATAATCATATGTAGTTATCCAAAATCAAGATAAGGTATTAAATATTTAATAACTAAAAACCTCTTCCCAATCTTTCATTATAGGAACAGATAAATTTTTAACTGTTTCCAAGGGTACTGATCCTAACTGAGGTGCTAATACAAAATTATATTGTTCTACATCATTTCCGCTACTTGCATGATTCAACACGTGGTTCTACAATTTTATTATTATTATTATCAAATATCTAGCTTTTTGCTAGTTTTACTTATTAATGCATCTTTTATACCTTAAAATATAACTTTTCCGTTATGCCATGTGCTTCGAATGGACATTGTACTTTTTCCGATGGATGATTTTTGTGGCATCGTGTTAAATGATTAAATAATTCACTTTTGTGAATTCTATGTGCTTTATCATATGGACACGTTACTATCAAATCTAACATTGACATGTTTATATTCTAAATTAATTTATAATTATTTAGTATTATAAAATAACATAAGCTTCTATACTTTGCGTGTGAACATTGGCACATGTTCAAGGCATAAAACTATATCACGTGTTTTCTCATATATTATAAGCGGTTTAAAGTATTTAGACAGGATTTCCGGTAAATGAATATCGATCTCATTCATAAAAAATATAAAGCATACGCGATTTAAAAATGTGAATATGAAAATTAAAAATAGCGACAATTTTTTAAATTACTTTTTATACAAAAAATTATAACTCTAATATTTCCATAGCATCATTAATAGTTAACCAGTACGCTAACCCATGCTATAAATTCAAAATTTCAAGTTTTGAATATTCTATATTAATTTTGTAAATAGCGCATTTTTTCCATGTATGCATAACTTCTTTTTAATTTTTATAATACTGTATTATTAAAGTAATATCATTATAATATTAAAATAAAGAAATGGTTCTTTAAATTATTTTCATTTAAAAATTCACTTTTACTTCTTTAATTAAAAAAGGTATCTATTTTACCACTGAAATATGTTAACAATGAAAGATCTATACATAGATTAAAATTATAAGCTTTTTCTGCAATAAGAATGCTTATCCATACTCTATTAAAGAGGATATGACAATTCACATATAAATGATATGAAATAGTGTGTATCCGAATAATTTTCAATAAAAGCTATCAACATCTTATTGCGGTTATTTTTTCTTCTAAAACATACAGATGGATATAATATCTGAATAAAAACTTTTGTATAGTTCGAGTTTGAAACAGCATATCTATAGTTAAACAACCTTGCACGTACACGTAATACATCGAAAACTATTTATAAGTGAAACACCGTCATCGTATTATTGCCCGAAATAAGTTGCTCGACGCAAACATGGTATTACGATTATAAATATCATTTATACGATTCATCTTATTTCAATTTTTTAATAAAGGAAGAAAATAATATAATGCTTCCATGAAAAATTGTCTACTTCGGTTTGATATTAGATTCGCACGAACACTTCCATTAGATAGGGTAAGGTTGGTATAAGTTAATAGTTTTTAATAATTAAAAATTCTAATATTTGTAAAGTATTTACATCATATTTTTAAGGAACAAAATCTTCTTATACTTTTATTATTACAAAAGAAATATCATTTGTAAATATAATAGCCTAATAATCAAATACAATGTAAATATGTATACGCTATGTTTTATGATTTTTAATTTGTAAGTTTCGCTTTCGTATTTGCACATGTCTATTGAGGATATAATAATCGAAGTGTTAGCAGAGAGGTGGAAAGCCGACGAGACGGACTGACAAATATATCAGTCTTATCCCACAGTGTTAGTCTACTGGAGACAACGGATGATCAGTCATGGGAATTTATATTATGTGAACACTATATCTGGTTGATACCCTTTGCGTGTTTTATTTTAAAGCGAACTCCATGTGTTTAGAATTACTACCATTTTCATAGTTCTCCAATCAATAACAACTACTTCGCAACAGTGTTTTACCTAAAACATCGCCCCTTTCCTATTTAGTAATTTTTGAATATATTTAATATCAATAAATAATGTTTCCTGTTTAACAAAAAGTGATGGTCTATTTTTTAACAGTTTGTTTAGAAAATTAAATTAAATACGTTATCATTTGATACTGTGCGAAATACTGCGCGAGAAAACTGTTCCAAAGTATGACTGTTGCTTGTTGTTGAATTATTTCAAAGTGTGTTCAAGATTGTCAATATGCAACGGGTTCTTAGCTTTCAAATGGCTCGTGGACTAAGCGAGTCCAGCGAGTTTGTGACTAAACGTATGTGTTTTTCCTTGATATTTTGTGTCGGCTTCCTTTCTTTATTGTGTGGATTTTTACTCGGCCGCTTTGAAACGCAAAGGGCTATAGAGATTCGTGCAGAAAAGAAACGTCTTGAATTAGCAGGAAATGGTTTGGAGAATACCGAGTATCTCCAACGTTTGGTGCTCGAGCAATTAGAAAGAGCGCCTCTTGATCCTGATTTCGAAGTGTACGTTTATTTTGTATTTTTGACCTTAAACTACAACTTTCGTATTATTTTCGAATATTTATAAAATAGGAAATGGGACACTTTAAATTTAAAAGAAGATGATATACGTCAAGTAAAAACTATTCTATCGAATTTATCACTTATTGAAAAAGTTGTCGAACACCGATCGTATATCGTGGCAACCACACGAGGGTTTAGAGAATTCGGTAAGTTAAGTATTGTAGATCAGTTTTCACATAAAGCATGTTGTTTTACTTACTATTAAATATTCAGATAGGTACGTAGTTTTATCGGCCAGCGGCGAAGGTGTCGGTGTCGCTTTAGAATTGGCAAAAATTTTCAATCAAATCCAAGAAGAATACAGGTGGAAACCTCGTAGATCTCTTATCTTTTGTTTATTTTCGGGATCCTCAAATCCTTGTCCAGAAATATTATCCAATTTTATATCTCACAAAGTTGTAGCTTATATTGTAGTACATCATCAAGCTTTACAAGGTTTGTTATCATAAGAAAATTGAAAGTTATTAATTTTGAATACATTTTAATTATTTGCAGGTAAAGGTCACTTTATTGTATCTGGATCAGACATAGTACAATCTATGGTTTTAGAATCTGCTAGTACTATAAAAAATTGGTTTTCTTATAACAATCAGTTATTATCTTTGAACAATACATTTTATAATCTTACAACTTCCCGGCTACCTTTAGACATACCTCATGCAGTATTGTCTTTTATGGTAAACAATAACAATAAGTATAAATAACTATATAACAAACAATTATCATCACATTTTTTTTTTACATATTTTTAGAATAATAATATTTCATATAATGAGAATCATCATGAAAGAGAATTACGTAAAATAATTTTAGCACAAATACTTGGTCAAACTATTTGGAGATTTTCTGAATGTTTAATAATAAAATGGTATCCAAAATATTTCAATGAAACTGCCTTTAAAGTATTAGAATCTATAAACAGTACTGAATTGCTGGAAGTTAAAGGTAAGAAATATATAAGTATTTTATGCTTTATGATATTAAATAAGTTTATATATTTTTTTTCTCTTATTTAGGAAAATTACAAGAAATCTTGGGTAAATTATTAATTAAAATTAATACTTCAAATGAGAAAATTGATACAATTGACAACATCAAGTATGCAATTTTTACAAGTTATTACATAAAATTTACATGTTACAATGTTTTGAACATATGAAATCTATTCTTTTCTGTTACAGTACTCTTGATACAAGAATACTGAATGATTTCCAGATGAATTTGGATAGAATTCTTCTTTGTCCTGACAAGGAACAACAGTCTAAAACTGACTGGATAGAGCTTTTTAGATTAACACGCAAGCCTTTTAATATAATTTTAAAGCGCATTAATGAGATGGTAAAGTGCTATGATAATGCTATACAACTCTTACAAGATCGATAGAGGAAATATAAAAAGTACAAAAGCTTAGATGTAAAATTGTCTTTTGAAGTGACTGTGGTAATATTCAGTAATTACCACTAATATTTTTTCACACTTTTACTTAGCTTCATTTTTGACACTTAGCTTAATTTTTTATCTAGGAGTTCCTATTTTTCATTTGCATACTATTATAAAATATACAGACACGTACATTTATACACATAGAAGTACAAAATGTGAATTACTTTGCCTGTGATAAATTAGATCGATTCAAATATTGTATAATTTAAATTAATGTATGTTTCCCATGCCATATATTAGCTCCCTTTCAAATTGTGATGCGTCAAGTGTTCCTTCAATAGCTTTACAGTCTGGATTAAATACAGAATAGGCACTAAGTTCACCTGGTTTCTTTGGTCTAGATCGAGTATTCAGCCAAATAAATATTAATGTAGATAAAATAAAATATACTGCTCCAAATTCAAATTCAATTGCAATAATATATAAGGTGACCCATAGAAGAAAGTATAATAGATATGCTATTATTCTTAGCATTGTACATTGTGATTGGTTGACACTATCATCAGAACAAGTACTTTCCATATCCTGGTCATCCTGGAACTCTTTAGTTCTTAATCATATTGATCTATTGTATACATTTTGTAATAAATATTATTTTGATTATTTCTTATGAAATAAGTGTATGTATTGCATTACAGTACTTATTCAATGTTAATGATGTAAAACTATCACAGTAATATAAAAAAATGCCGTACATGTCATGCGTGACATAACCTTACCTTCACATCGTTCAATGGCGTTACCACTGAAGAATCTTCAGCTGATTTATTTCTACTCCACGGTAAGACAGATTGTATCATATTCTTAACTGATTCTGACATTTCTTCTCTGTATTTCTGGCGTCTATATGTGTTAAGTCTATTTTTTATATTATCTCCAACCATACTGTATGCGAATATCGAGTGTTAAACAAAGTTATCATTAAGTACGTTGCGTTATATTCATTCGCGATTCAGTTTACAATATAATAACCATTTCGTAAAAGGATTGGTCAATTATTATAGTTGCATTATTTATACACTATGTTATTGGTCCACATATATATTATAGGTTCCTGTGGAATGTACAAATTGTTATTCACACGTGACCAAATTGTCCGAACGAAGTTTGTTTAATTCACATTTAAATAATTTATTCTCCATAGTAAAACAAACTAATATTATGTTAAACAACACAGTGTTATACGTCATATAGGTTAAAGAATATTTTTAATGAATTAGTATTGAAAATGGCTCAAGACAAACGTGCAACACAATCTGACTCTACGATTGACGTTAAATTACTGAATGGACTAGACACTCGATTACGTGTTGCTGTTGATTTTGGTGCTTCCTTCATCATTTCAGGGATTTTAGCTATCATATTTCGATCTATGATTGCTCCGATAGAAAGGATTAAATTGATTTTACAAACACAGGCGAGTAGTCGGCAAATAGGAATTCCGGAACGATCTGCTTATTCTGGCATTTTAAATGCACTTATTAGAATACCAAAGGAACAGGGATTATGGTCTCTGTGGCGCGGAAATGTTCTCAACATTTGCCGATATTTCCCAGCCCAAGCAATTAATTTTTCCTTCTACGATTTATATTACGAAATCTTCCAAAAAGTACGTTTGAAAAATTATTCATCCAAATTTTTTATTTATTCTTCTTTAATGTGCATAAACATTTAATAGTTTTACTCAGATGATTCAATCGAGGACAGTTTACAGTCATATCATTTTGCCATTTTTGACTGGTGGTGCAGTCGGTGTTACATCCTGTACTATCCTTTACCCTCTTAATTTCTGCAATACACGAATAACGGTAGATGTTGGTGATAATAAGATGATTAAGAGAGAATTCTACAGTCTGAACGACTGCTTGAGCAAGGTTTACAAAAGCGATGGTTACAGAGGCTTTTATCAAGGATTATCTCTTTCGGTTTGCGGACTATCCTTGTACAGGTTTAAAGTAATAATACTTAGCGTGGCAGGGGCAGTACGCGCTGGGCGAGACTTTTCTCACTAGAAGTTTTTACAATTTTAATGTAACAAAACAATATTTTAAGTTATTCAAAAAATGAAATATAGATAAATAACGGGATAATAAAGTTATTTTCTAACCTTATAGTGTGTTAATTTGGGTTACAAATTTATTACGAACTTTATAGATCCATCTACTTTGGTGCATATACAATTGGTAAAAGTACATACTTGAACAATTATGGGACGGATCCTCACAGAGTAAACGCACCATTCTTGGTATCTTTGGCCCTCGCTCAATTAGCATCTAGCATCGCGACAGTCATATCCTATCCCTTAGATACTGCGTCTAAACAGAAAATGCTTTGGAGCGGGCGTGGTCCGAAAAATTATGTATCAATTCGGCAAGTGGTCAGTAAAAAATTATAAAATAATTTTAATGAGAATTTTTATTTTATTTAATCAGTACGATTGATGAAATTATATTTCGTTAGATCAATAATATTATAGAAAAGGATGGTCCAGTCGGCTTCTACAGAGGCATCTCTGCTAATTTAATGACGGCTATTTGTGGGTCTTTTGTATTGGTTACGTATGACGTAATTAAGGGACGTTTCGACCAACTGATAGAGTCGAAGGTATTTCTTTTATAACTTATCGATAATTTTACACTGTTAATTCATAAAAAATATATCTTTTAGAATACTAAATCTGAGACTTGAAGATTGTTATCAAGATCGGACGTATAGTAAAGTACACGAAGATAAATTTGAGATCGTGCATTGTTGCATTGTATATATCTAAAAGAAGTCTTGTATTGTCTTCTTGTATAGATAAAATATACATTGCGAAAAAACTAAATAATTTAAAAAGTACATGTATTTTGTAAATTCTTTTGTACTCGTATGCATATTGGTTTATTACACAGCAGTTGAATATTTGATAATGCATATGCTTTTTACAAACAATAATACGGTCGGAGATAGCTGCAATTTGTAAAATATTATCAAGCTCGACCACAGTATTAGGTAAGAGGGCAATGAGGCACCAAGAATTTTTTATATTGAAGATCATAGTATGATGAAATTTATTTCTAATATGATGTCACCGAGGAAGCAATGTAATAGAAGAGCTAATCTATGATTGTATATTCTACCAGTTCTTTGTAAACTTTATAGTCGTGATCGTGAGATATGTATATTTTAAGATAATTGGTGCTCCGTGCCTTTTGCCTTACTCGCCGTCTCGCCGTATTACTCGCAGATTATATTGAAACGATCCGGTGATCACTTTCACAGCCTAAAGAAAGTATAAATTATTCTTAGCAGAGTTCTCGCAACGATAATGTCTCACTGTCCACGAGGGTCCATGTCAGAATCACTTATAGATATGTCTCACGCGAAGGATCACGTTGATAATCAGAAAACAAGAGGTATTGGAGATTTAAGAAACAACAGTTCTGGTCGTTTGGATACGGAGAATGTCACTGATAGCCATGTGCTCGTGCTTTATACCGGCGGTACCATTGGAATGATCAGAAATAGAGATGGAGGTAATATATGTGTAATATTTTCCTCCCCTATGAGGGATTAAAATTGGAATAACCTGGTAAAAATTATAGAAATAATTCAATTTATTATCTCGTTATAGTTCTCGTCCCTAAGGCAAATGCTTTCGTGAAAACCCTGCGCAATTATCCACATCTCCACGACAAACAATACGCTGAGGAACGATTCGGATCAATGGGACCACTAGTACTTCCGTAAGTGCAGGTATCTAATGTTTCGAATTGATTTAAAAGTCAGAGTAAATGAATAATTTTAATAAGTTTGTAATACTCTCTGACAAATGAATGATTATTAATTTTTAATAATTTCTTTTTAAAGGTTGTCTGCGAAAGACAATAAACGTGTTATTTATAAGATATTGGAGTATTCGCCACTGCGTGATTCATCTGATATGACAATAGACGATTGGATTCGTATCGCTAAAGATATTAAGGTGAAATTTTTCTGTTGTGCTATAAATACTACGGAGTTCTTAATTCTATTTAATCAAGTGTGTGTGTGTGTGTTCATAAAACTTGCCTCAGGAATGTATGCAAATGAGTGAGAAGCACACAAATACATTTAAATGAAGTTAGAAAGTTTTTCTCTTGATATTAGATTCATTGAATTCTTTTAAATATCGTTATTGTCTTTTAAGTGTAGAGAAAAAACTTTACATTTAATATAATTTTTTGTTTTAGCAATCTTACGAGCATTTCGACGGATTCGTAGTTCTACATGGAACGGACACTTTGAGCTACACAGCATCTGCTCTATCTTTCATGCTTGAATCTCTCGGCAAGATAGTCATTTTAACCGGCTCTCAAATCTCAATTTTCGACAGTAGAAGTGACGGTCTGGACAACTTCCTGTCGTCTCTAATAATAGCAGCGAATTATAATATACCAGAAGTATGCGTGTATTTTGGTACGAAGTTGATGAGAGGAAATCGTACTTGTAAAATATCGACCATTTCATTTGACGCGTTTGATTCGCCGAATTTTCCAACCCTAGCTAAAACCAACATTAAGATAGAAGGTTAGCACTTGACCCAATTATGAAATACATTTTGCTTAATTGGTTGTAGTTTTATCTGTCTGGCGTAGAATGTTTGCTTCCATAGCCTATATTCTCAATTGTTAAACAGAATTTTAAATGCAATACATTAATAAAAATCAGTGAGGAAGTAGCAATTCGATAATTTTACCAGAAATAGGTATATTATCATATATTATCATACGTGATGCATATAAATATAGTTTAGGAATATGTTTAGTATACCTTTTATAACCTTTTATAAATATCAGCCTAATGTGTACATATATTATAGTAGATTATCGAGCAATATTTCGATCGTGTACATTGGAAAAGTTTCACGTACATGCAAACTTGAACAGGAATGTTGGATTGCTTCGAATATTTCCGAGTATAACCACACACTTGGTAAGAGCATGTTTACAACCCCCGATCGAGGGTGTTGTGTTGCAGACCTACGGTATAGGAAACGTTCCCACAAATCGGCATGATATAATGCAAGAACTGCACGCAGCTACGAAACGTGGAATTATTATTGTCAACATTACGCAATGTTCGGCAGGCTACGTTTCAAATGCATATGAATCTGGAAAGTTGCTCCAGGAAGTTGGTACGTATATAATTAAAATTATTTATGAAATGTGAAATTTGAAATTCAAGATTCGAATTCGAAATTAACATTTAAAAATAAGAACTTTGTAATTTGCAGGTGTAATATCAGGTTTCGATATGACACCGGAAGCTGCACTGACTAAACTTTCCTACGTATTATCAAAGGAAGAATGGGATGCACAAACGAAAATCGAAATGATGCAAATAAATCTACGCGGGGAATTAACCGCTGGCCGACCTCCTTATCTTGAAGATCTAGATCTTGTGGAGGCAGTTGCAAGATCTTTGAGAATTTCTTCATCGACAGAGCGTCAAGAACTGGGATCGATTCTCTTCCCTGCAATGTTGAATACCGCCGTGAAAAATCGTGACGTAATGAAACTTGAAGCATTAAAAAGATATGTACGTATATATATCATTGGGGCATCTTCATCGTGAAAACTTTTTTCTCGATATTAGCACATGCTTTTATTTTAGGGTGCAAACATTTCCCAGCAAAATGCAGATGGTCGAACGGCTTTACATATTGCTTGCTGCGAAGGTGATGTTAATATCGTTTGTAATCTTTTAAGAATGGGTGCAAACGTTCATATCAAGGATCGATTTAATCGTACACCTCTTAGCGATGCGATAGAATTCGATCATCACGAGGTATAACATCACTCCGTTGGTATAACAAACGTTACATTTCATAGTAAGCTTTAAAATAATTAAAGGAATTTTTTATTCTACTTTTTCAGATCATTAAGATACTGATCCAGAGTGGTGCACATTTACATGGACGCGGTTACATAATAGGCGAGAAAATATGTGCTGCAGCGGCCGTTGGAAATATGAAGCGTTTAAAGTCATATGAGTTGGCAAACGCGGACTTTTCACAGAAAGATTTTTCTGGAAGAACACCTCTGCATTTCGCCGCGCTGCACGGTAAAATACAAGCTATTAAGTTCTTGTTGGAGCACAATGTAGACACGAAGACTTTGGATAAAACGCATCAATCACCGTACGATCTCGCCAAAGTATCAGGTTATACGGAAGCAGTAACGCTGCTGTCATGACTCGATCCATCGAATACACTAGTTAAAACTACGAGATGAAAGTGAAATAAAGTAAAACAATGCAGACACTAGTTGTTATGCAGCTACAAACGCGTAATTCTAAATCAAAAAATACATTGAGATACAAATAAACGACAAGATGAAAGTAAAATAAAGTAAAACAATGCAAACACTGCTTGTTATGTAGCTACATTCGCATAATTCTAAACCAAAAAATACATTGGGATACAAATAAGATGAATATTTATTTTAGACACAATAATGTGAAATGTTTGGTTATTTGTGTGTTGTATTTGCGTTCTAGCTCAAATAATATATAACAATGGTTTTCATATTTTAATGATTGCGAATACGACGAACCACGTAAATACGTTAATTTATCGTAGGAGCGCTATTAAATATTTCACACAATAGCTAACGAAAAGTGAAAGTCTAAAGTGACGGTGATTATGTCTAGATCACGCAGCAGTGCACGTGAAGATATTTCATACCGCGCGAGTTAAGATAATAACGTATTTCCTTGAGCATAGTAAGTTACGAGTTTAAGGTGTGAAGAACCGACCAGTAATTTCTTACATTTTGTACAAAAACATTCTTTGTATTTATATAGTAGTGAAATATACATCACATTTCACACTATCCCGAATTCATTCATTATAGTTTTCAGGAACTGCGGCGTTATTGAGCAATCCTTGTAAATATAAGCACAATCATGGTCTCCTTTCCGTCCGGTAAGCACAGCATCTTGGATGATCGTGCCATTTGTGACGTCTTTGAACCATCTATGACTGTATCCAATTCAACGAAACATTAAGCCATCCTCATTGGATTAAATACTTTATTTTTGTTTCTAACTTTTACCTCGATAATCCATCGATTATCTTGTCAGCACTTGTCGGATTTTCCGACTGCGTGGCCACTGATACAATCGAGCAAACGACACGTTGCATGCACGGTGCCACATAATTATTGCCAAAAATCATTTCGTTGATAGTATCTCCCATTTGCAGCCATTGCTCATTGTCCATCGACCCTAAAATTACACAAACAAAGAAGAAATAATAAAAAGAACATTAATGAATACAATATTTTAGATACATTTACTCACGATAATTATACTGTGGATGCGTTTTCGAGAATAATGGTGTAACCACGCTAAAGAGAGTGGTTATTAATCCAACGACTCCAAGAGCTTTTGTATTAACGTTCAGCCATGGCGACACTTCACCGTTCTCCCCTATCTTGTGCTCCAGAGGAATCGAAATGAAGGGAATAGTTACAGACCAATCAATCTGTAACAGTCGTGAGAAATAGGAATACGTACGATAAAAATAATCCACTTAAATTAAATAGAAATTAAAGATTGTTTATCGAAACTTACGTCTAACTTTTCTTGTTCCGTATTGAAGGAGATCAAGCCACCGCCTGGATATTTTCCATATGCTTTACCGTGACCCCTCGAAGCTTTTGTTTTCCCGTTGCTGCTGTCTTTCGATTCGGAACAGTGCAGCAGAAGACATATCAACAACGTCACTGTAGATTTAAACGAGTCTCTCATTTTTACTCTTCCGACGAAGACAGTGGCAAGGACTGGTCCCGCTACGAGCAATTAGAGCAGATTACTCGCTATTCAGGATTTTCTTTATACTTGAATCTTATACTTAAATCGACCAATTGAAGCGAGCACAGAGGTACGTGTGACGAATCCTTGATTCCTGCCAGCAGTTTTTGTACAGGAGACAGCCCACCCTCGTCAAGTAGGAAATTCTATTTTCACGAGCAGAATTAACGAACCTAAAAGAGAGCTCTGGTTAAATTACTGTCACGAAACGAGCCATAGCTGTTATGCCGGTCATCGTCACGCCTAATTCCGCAAATTCGCGCACAGAATTCCACGTTTCGTAATTACGCTCGCGTTTCATTATTTTCACCAAAAGTGGCCTCGCGCGAAGATTTCTTATATTTGGCAAGACCCGATGAGATTTAGCAAGATTCCACGATCGAATGCATATGAAATCCATTTGACTGAGAAATTTATTTTTAACAAGATTCTAATTTAAAAAAAAAAAGAAGAAGAAGAAAGGAAGAGAAGGAAATGGTAGGACAATTGAGATTGGAGAGTCGAGGGACACAGGATAATTTTGAATTTATGTGTGCATTCATATGTGAGGTTTGTTAGTGTATGCTTACGAGCCTCGACTTTCGTGAATTTTCCAGAGCAACCTGCAGAACGAATTCCTCGTCTCAAACTCAGGTAGACGGCTTATTCGTGAAACGTATACCGGTTTCTGCAGCCTTTCGCAGGCAAAATATCGCGAGATATTCTTACTTGCCACACTTTGTCTGCGAAAATTCAAGATCGATGCTGGATCACTGCAACTGTCGACCTGTAACATAATACTGTCACGAATTTCATTTAACAAGGATACTGTAAAGAAGTTAATTCGTCTCTTGTTGTATCAACATCGTATGTCTTCTGTGAACGCTAAAAGAGATGCAGAAAAATCGATTGTACTTGTATCAGAAGGAAAATGGAGAAGACAAGTGGCCAAAGCGATAACGTTGAATGCAGAATTCTTAATTAAAAATTTAACACGTTGACTGCCATGCATGTTTCATATGATACGCTCAGGCCACGATAAAATTTCTATTGTTCTTAGGATATAATGAATTATTAAGAAATATGGTGAAAAAAGAAGAAAAAATAGCGCAATTTTTGATTTCGCAATCTTCTCTGTTCATTTATATTCTTTAAATTTTCGGAAAGCAGACAAGCGTCGGTCACTGGTGGCCTCCGTGGCAATCAACGTGTAAGATATGATCACTATAATAGGTTTAGAGTTCATTTTCTTCACTTGGAAGGCAAATCTCCTTAAGTGGCATAGCGTTGAGACCAATTACTTTATTCAAATGATACTTAGTTTAAAATCTCATTATAAGCGTAGTCCTTTGACAAATTTTATGCTCGTCTAATTCTGTCCCGTGTAATTACCAATAATCCTTTCTTATCTCCTAAAAGTGGAGATTAGGGTTGTCATAAAATTGATTAGGTGCCCCTCGACATCTGTAAAAATTTAAGCAGTTGTACATGGAAACCGTGTTACAAGAATATCGTATTGTAAAAGAATTTATTTTTGCACCAGACTGTATGTCCACCATGTTTATCCTGTTGTAAGAGGATTGAATTATTATGTACAGATTGTCTACGTATCGTCTGTAATAGCACAGTGTTTTACAACACAGCGACAAGTAACCGCTTGTTTCTTACAAAGCGTAATCTTCATGCGTTTAGGAAGAGATGGACGAATTAGCAGATCCTTATCGATCTTGCGAAAGATAAATTATTTCGGGCTGGTCGACAATGCCGTAGCGAGTGATTCGTAGCGACAGTTTACCCGTTGCTTCTTCAGAAGAGGCCAGAGTCACGGACCGTGATAGCGTCCCATGGAAATCTAACAATGAAAGCGAAACCACTGGTTCCAATTATGTCCATGGTTTGTCATGTCGTGACGATTCGGAGTAGGTGCATGACTATATATGCCAGGAACAATGTCGGTGTCCTCCAGTTTCTTCAAGACCAAACCATACGACACGAAGTACTGGCCTGTCTTTTCCGTTTCACAGAGGTATCAGCTTCACTACAACAAAAGCAGATTCATGGAAGACAACGTTTTAATCCATTTCCCAAATTTTCGTTTCCACAGATGCCGAGCAAAATCCGAAATCTTATCCTCTTTCTATTTTCTTCTGTGGCTATCGCGGAAGGCAACCCGAAGTTTGACGATGGAGGGTAAGATCCTTCTTGAGAACTGATTGGTAATTGTAACAGAGAGAATTTCGAGATTAATTTTGAATCTTCTTTCTCCACGAGCAAATCACGAAGACATGTCATGACCAAGCTTAATCAATCGCGAATAGGTTTATACCGAGTTCCATGATTTACATGGAAAAGAACGCGAAGTCCCAAGACCAGCTAGCTATGCCTTCTCAAGCAGAACTGCGCAGTGAGACATCCACGAGACGGGGTGATTTGGACAACAACGATATCACGGATCGCAACCAAGAACCACGGTTTAGTTTCACGAATCTTGGTAGCACAGGAAGCGTAAGTCATCCTAAAAGTAAAATCTTCCCATGAAACATTCTTCGATAATCGAGTAATGCAAATTGGATCCAGGGCTATGGGGTGTCGACGTATGCTCCAGCGAAGATAGACCTAGGTGGCCTGTTCCTGGGCGCCATTATAGGGATAGGGTCCATTCTCATCATTCCCAAGTTGCTCTACGTCCTTTCTGGAACTTACGGACATTACGCAAGAAGTAAGTTACTTTGTGATTTATTTTCGCAATGGGAAATGATCGAGTCGAGCATTATCATAGCGTCGAATCTTTAATTCTAGGTGAAGAGAGCGGTTTCACCCAGATCATGACAAAAATGGACGACGTGCTGGCACGTCACGGCATCGACACGACATCCTGTATGCAGCGAGCAGTGTGCACCTATTCGCAGCAAGCCTCGTCGTCCGTAAAAGAGGCTAATAAGTTGGACGACGATGAGAAGCTCTCGTCGTTTGATCGAGTGATCGATACGATCACGACGAATCAAATATTCCGTACTGCCATGCAAGGCACCGCGATACAGGAGGCCGTGGAAGCAGGAAGGGCCGGTCGAACTTGTTCCCGGATTTATCCACAGTGTGGATTTTCCATGGAAACTATGCTGTCCCTGTTATCCAACGTAATCTCTGCAGTCGCTGCGGTTAACACAGGGACCACAGCGACCACGGGAACTGGGACTTTGTAATTGTTAGGGTTCGAAGTTTCTGATAACGCAGCAGAATAGTCCGACTCGGTTTCCCGACAATGAAACCCGATGGTTTCCCGGAAACGTACACTTTTTAGATAAAGTAAAAGGAATGAGAACGTAGCATACATTATCGCCATATGACAAAACGAGTTATAAACGTGCTTGTACTCGTATGGTTCGCTTAATCGAATGTGATCGGTTTTCCGGGGAGTAATGTAAAATTTAGTCGTAAGTTAAGTACTTGCAGGTAGCTAGAATTAAAAAGAGCAGATTGAAACAATTTCTTTTCACGTTTATTTGATCTTGTACACGTGCGAACCAAGGAAAGTGAAATTGTTCCCGTGTAATGCGACGGAGTCGTTGGTTCGCGCAGTTCAGCGTGTAACGCGACAACTTTCTTTCAACGTAGACATTTGTTGTTTACACAATCTTCGTGTAAGGCAAACAGAACCGTATAAAATTACACGGCGTAACGATTCGTTATTTTTCAATATGAACACAGCGTACATTGCGCACTGTTCTGAATCTTCTACGACCCTCGATGTAGATACAATAATGTTTCAGAGCGTATACAAATATATAATTTTTTCATTAATGTATGAGTCGCGTGCGAGGTTTTAATTCCTAAGAGAAGTAAAACGAACTCTCTAAAATTAATGTCGAATATCGATATTGAATGGTCGATATTCGAATTGGAACTTAAGCCCCAAGATATTTCTTGAGGGATTTATGGTTAACAATAGATCACTATGATACATACGCGTTAGTAAAATGTAATCTTCGCTTTTACAGGAAAAATATTGAACTCTGTTATATTCTATGTATGTATTTCTGTGTTCGTATTCTAGAATTTCTTTGGTCCTTAGCAAAATACTTAAATATCCGTTAAACGTATTATTAAGCAGTGTAATTTAGTTAACGTTAATAAATTTAACAAACGTAAGCAATCAAGCATAATGCCATTCGAGTGATCCTATCCCGAGAGAAATATATCTTAATTGGTGAGATGAAAATATGTTTCAGGCTATCTAATTATGAAAATACAACCATAAACAACCTTGAAGTAATTAATACTGTCAATCCAGATTGCTCTATAACATGCATTTAACTGCTGAACAATTATCTATTTTATAAACTTTAGTCGACTTTTACAAGAATAAGATCTCTGATAATTACAATATACGTTCGATGTACCGTCATCTACGAGCACCGTCGATTACTATGAATATTTTTGTACCTGTTTCTTCATTGAATTGGCAACGAGACTTTTTTCCTAGATAATAACACTTTTCAATAACTTTCACTTTGTAGAAGAAGTACGACAACATGTTTACATAACAATCATTTCATATACTGTCGCTTTGGTAAAAGTAGTATGGCTCCTATAGCAACACACACGTGCCACAAACTGTGCACGATATAATAATTCCTTCTCGTCTGTAGGAACGCATAACAGACAAGGCCGAGGGAGACTAGAAGAAGACCAGCCGGAAAATAAATGCTTCTGTGAACATAAATAAAGTTTACTTTATACGACACCGATATATCGATCGGAGTTTATAAATTCCTGAAAATTATAATTACCTATAAGGACGCGATGGATAACGGACCGTGCCCCTCCTTTTACATCTCATGCCCCAGGACAGGCCGATCAATGCTGAGCCTGTCATAGCTGGCAGAAGAAACACCCAGAGGGCTGTACGATCCATTTCGGCACTCATAGCCAAGATAACAGCTCCAGTTATTTGACAAAAAGCAGTGAGTTTTGGTCCAAACGAGGCCATCGCCACTAACGTTACCCAAATGGACAGAAGAGCGTTGAAGAAATCACAGAATTGTAACACGCTCAATCTCATAATGCATATGCTGTACACATCTTCCCCAGCTTCACAGGCATGATAGAACGTTGAGAAAAACATCACGGCAGCATAAACTATTGCTTCCGTGAAATATTCTCGACGCACTGCTACATAAACGGAACCGATAAACGCCAAGTTGCTGAATGTTAGCAATAATACACGGATAATTATGTCGCTGTTGCTGAGAACGTAAGTATCATCCGCACAATCAAAACCTCGATAAGCGCCAGAACAATGACATGCGGCGAACACGAAACCGCCGCTCATGTAATGCATACACTTGCCACGAGAATTACAGCGACCTTCGATGCATGGTAACGAAGAGATACGGCTTTCTATTCTGGTGTCACAAGGGCTCATACAGTTACAGTCATCACAGGCGGTCCCGTTCAAACAAGTTGTGGTGCAGTGGCAGTTTTCCTCCACGCAGAACGCTTTCAGACTTATGTGCCAGATTCCTGGTTCCGGGAAAGGAATGTGAATAGTGGCTGGTCCTGTGGAGTTCACATAAATATCCGCGGCCGTCGTGTTTTCCATGCGAGTGCAACCCCCACCGGCAGTGATATTCGAGTAATAACCTATTGAAACAGGATTGGCATAAAGAACGGTATCTTTTAGTAGTTAGTTTACAATTGCTCACCTAACGAAATGCATGCAACTACGACGATATTTTTCTTCTCTTTGTCTTTCGCATCAACTAGTTTCAACCCTAAAGTCAATGTTCCACCGACGTCGTACACTCTACCGATTTCGAAACTGAGGACGGACAAGGTGTCTGAGGTTAGATTGAACGCCGATGGCTTTGTACCGTTTCCTCGCAGATGCTCATAATCGAACAGAAAAAAATCGGGCAAGGACTTTCTCATCAAATCTACCGACTTCACCTGACCTGGTTCATAGGTAGGAGAACTGTCGACCAGTTGCAAAGACATGTTTGTGGACTCTCCGGAAAGTAACCGAAGGACAACGTAGTGATACGCGTCCGAATAGGGCTTGAAAAATACGGTGGCGTTTGTAGTGTTCACTATCATCCCTGCCAACTGATCCTCTGCAGTCACGTGAACAGCGACTTCGCATTCCTCGCCGCAAGACGATTTTAACGACAAGCTGGAGTCCACAAATTCATCGGGAATTAATAACTGCATCACAGCCGAGTCCGCGCTTTCGTTCATATGCACCTCGTATTTCAATTTCGGATCCATTGGCGAAACTACAGAGGCAGACTCTAGGAGTAATTCTGCATCCAGTACGGTATCACACGATGCTCCAAGTCCTGAAAATAGAAGTACACATTTACCACCTGTTACTATCGCAATATCAATTGACCTATCATTTTTATTTGCCCTTAATAATCAACCTTGTTGCGTGATCTTCCCGTTATCAGGGTCGCTCCAAGATCGAAATGCAATGGCATACCAATCGCCTGGCGAGGGTGCACTGATTTTTATCATGTATTCGTCTCCGTTACTCTTCATATTCAGAGGATAATATCGTCGTCTTCCTTTCATGAGTTTCGCCGCAATCTTCGATCCATCCGGCCGGACAAACGGCAGGCTACCGGACTTCAAAAACACGGAAACATTCCGAGCCGAGCATTTACCTATTCCTCCAGTTTTTTCTTCTTTTACAGTGAACCTGAAAATATACGTGTCATAATTTACGCGTTAAACAGGATAACCACGGAAACTCGATTCTTTATTAAATTTCGTTGAAAGTTTACTTGAATCCTGCAGCGACTGTGCAATCCGGGACATTGAAATGGATTATGGAGATGTGACGATAAGCATAATAGTCGTCGAGAACGTTGTTGGGTCGATGGGCGACCCGTTCGAGTTTGCCGCACAGACCTTGTTGTATCGCGAAGATCCATGCCAACAAAATGACTAGTACGCTGTGTCGCATATTATAGATCCTGCGATTGGCCACATAACAAGCTACTTCTTCGACTAATCGGAGAGGATATTCTGGTTTAATAATCTGTACAGAAAAAGAGTATGTTTTTAAACAAAGGTCATCTAACTTTTAAATTACAAGAACAGATTAAGAAAAATTTCAATTCTGATTTCATATTATCGGTCTCGAGATAAGAGACCAGATAAGATTAACGCGATGCGTAATGTCGCGACGTAAATGAGGAAATATTCCAATTCGTTATGATTTGCAAGGAGGAAATTAAGTAAGTAACAAGAGCTACACCTTCGCGGCAGGCTTTTACGAGGCTCGTTTCAGGCGTCGAATAAGATTCGCGCGATATGCATGATACGCGTGACCAAGTAGGTCAAATTCCAATGCCAATTCCCGCGCTTCCTGTGCTTGCAAGATGCGAGAGCTTATTTGACTGCGTTTCCGTGCCGCGATATGGGGCAAGGATGCTGTTTCCTCGAAACTCACCAGTGAGAATTTTAATCTTCGATCCCAGCAACTTTTTAAAAATCTGACGGAAACAGATAATTTAAAAATTTTAATCAAAATAAATTCGTTATTAATCGAGAAAGAAATAGAATAGATTTATAAAATACTCGAAAAAAAAAATATATATATAAGTCAGTTTATTATAGAAATAAAATAAACATTTAGCAAATAATCTTAAGATTACAGTAATGAGTGGACGAATACGAACCTAATCTGGTGACCCACAAACCAATAGCAAAAGATTATCGGTCAAATTGTTCGATGATAGGAGAGAAATAAAAATGAAAAAATGTGGTTATTCGTCAGTTCCACAAACACGGAATACTTCGGCATAACTTGAAATAAATTAGTTAAGCATTGTGATAATCGAGCCATCTATTAAATAATGCATGAAAAATTGATTTCCTATAACACGACCGCTCACCAATTGAACTTTAATAGTTAATTGACGATTTATTCGCAAATTCGTTCTTGTAATGCATTCGTAGCACTTGTTAGTGAACACGTTACGATAAATGTAGAAATCAGTGTTCGATTCTGCACTGATAGTTTAAGAATCGTATGTCAATAAAAATCACTTAACATTTATTCACGTGTTCTTGAAAGTAATGGACGAAAAAGTATTAACCATTTGTTTAAATTGTGCAACAGTGAGATTAATTATCGTGTTTGTCGAATTTGGTTGATACATTATACTCGAGTGATTTAAATCTCTTAGAATAAATATAATCAACGAGTTTAAAATACGTCCGTAATATGAGAGGAATACAGCAATTTATATAGTGTCACGTGTTAACTTTGCTTGTCGTGTCAACACACCTACACATATGGTTTTGCACGTACACGTTTACATCTGATTAACGTCGTTACGCACGTTCGTAACGTTCCATATACAGGCAAGACAGATTACGTCTGAAAAAGTATTGAAACGATGCTCTTTACTAAACCAAGACAAATAAAGATCCGATTAACTTTGCTCGGCACAGCAACAAGTGTCTCTAAACAATGCTCATTTTAAATCTCCGTCGACAGATGACTTTGCCAGCCAATCCAAATTAGCGCGCGAATTTCATCAACTCTATGACTCTCTTCATCGTCGATCGAATATTTTCGACGACGTTAGTCGAACGGCGACCAAGTACGCGACTGGTCGATTAAATTTGGCACATATCACACAACACTGTTACGATAAAATTTTTGAATACATACATGATTCGGTTGCTTTTAATTTCGCGTAATATTTACAGTTTATTTTACTGATCTGGGAAAAAATAACACTCTCAAAGTCAAATGTAAAACTTCATTAGACGTAGTTGTTATATTTTTCTGGTGGCCGATCATGGATCAGATTAGTTGTGCAGTTTTGCACATACACGTAGGCGCGAGAATACATACCGGAAATTCGTAAGAACACGTGGTCACTTTGACAGCTATTCCTGATCTCACGTGAGAGTGCGTTCGTGGTCGCTGAACAGACTGAAAATCCCCGGGAGCTGTTTATTGATCGTTTACCGCCGAAAGATACGTGCTACGATTCACCGGTTAAATGCGTTTATAATAGGGGAACTTGGTGTGGATGATGATTCAGTGTATGCAGTGACTTGACGCTTTGAACTTACACTGGTAAGTAATCCCAAGAGATAAAGACAAAATTTGGAATGATCCAAGATTTCCCTTTAATTGAACGCTTAACAGAGAATTGAGTCGGTGTCGCGTTGTCAAGGCGCAGCTCCAACACGTGGGTCGATCAGCTGAGCGAACCACGCTCACTCAAAACCTTTTAAAGTGATCAGACATCGTGGGTGTTTATACAGCGTTTCTTTCCATCATTGTAGTAAATTCATATTTTATTTTTATATCGATATTTTATAGCTATTTTTTTTTATTAAAAAATATTTCTAAAATAATTGAGAATTTCATAAATACGATTTTTCTAATTAATAATAAAAGTGGCGAAAATTAAAGTATTGCAAAGTATTTTTTATATTTACATACTTATAAAAATTTATTAATATGTACATGTCATGTATTCCTCAAGTTATGGTAACTTAAATACCAATAAATATATCCATATTTTGTTATTTTATATTGCTCTTTCGAAGATTTTAAAAATACTAATACTTTAACAGTATTTAATCAAAATACTTCAATCTTTATTAAAATTCCCATGTATCCAACCATCTTAAAGAATGCATTGGACTCTCAGGATCTAGTGAAGAAGGGCCAACCATACCATAAGCCAATGGAGAAAACAAATAGAAGCTATAACAAAATATGTAAATGTATACTTTCTGTATTAAGTATTTATTAATCAATTGAATTGCATTTACCTGTATATGATACTTGAAATAACAGTAGCCACTATTGTATGATATATGACATATCCAATTTTATTTGGGAATAAAGTGATCAAACTATTGATAATATAATTCAATGTTATTCCAGATAACATTGAACTGTATAATAGAGCTGGGAAATAATGATGATAGTACAAAACTCTAGTCATTACCCAAAATGGTGCATAATGTAATATCCAACCAAGGAAAAGCCACTTTCCTGCATTTAATATTTTATTCCTTTGTTCAAGGACAGCAGTATTTTCTACACAACCGCGTTGTTGTCGCACGCAAGCGTGGATATATATTATAATGAAAAGTATTAAAAATATAATATTACCCCACCATATAATTGGATTGCCCAGTAAATATATTCTTAAACTGTTACCAGAAAAAAATTGGCCCTGGAAAATTTATTGGTTAATTATATTTTCCTTTCCATTATAATTATGTAACGTACTCTGTAATTAATGGGCCACTGCCAAGGTCGAGATGATACTTCTCCTTCTTTAACTTTCAAATCAGAATTTCCTTGCATCATTACTGCATGTGACTCCAAAAATCTATCTAAGAATCCAGGTGCATATACTTGAAAGCTAACATTTGGCACTGTAAAAAAATTACTGATTAGCAAAATACTATATATTTGATAAAACTTAAATACCAACATTTGGCATAATTATTGTCTTCAATATTCCATAATGCATTCTTGTCTCTCATATTTGGATTACAAGAAACTTCTTGTTGACTATATGCCCTAAAAAGTTACAATTTTTTGTTAAATTTGTCTTTACTTCTTTCTCTACTTTGAAATATATGATTTCATAACTAACCACTTTGGCAATGTTTTGCCACTACACGTTAATACACAATGATGTAGATAATGTACAAATTTTAATTTACTCGTTACCGTTTCGATTGCATCGCCATCTTTGCCATTTGTTATTAAAATTTTCCATACATCATTAGCATCACCAGTACCATTCTATAAAAATAAAGAAAAAGGTATTATATAATTAAACATAAGAATTCTAAACAAATAAACTCACTTCGCCATATCCTGTAACTTGATAGTGCTTTTTAGAGATAGGTGCGATCTCTTTATGTGAATGCAAATTTCGATGTGTGATAACATGTTCTAAGCGTATAAGATCACCATGCTTTACTAGTACTGGCTCTAATGGTATATAATCAGTATCAAATTTTTTTATGAGCCATAAATTATTATCATCTTTATGCGAATAAGTTGTAATCTACCAAAAAAAATGTGTTAATATTTCATAAAAGTTTAGTAATATTTTTTTAATATTATTTTTAATTATTTTAATATTTAATAATATAAAATATATAACATGATAAGATTAATACTTGTTGTTGTCTAGCTCCAACTCCTTCTGGATAAAGATGCCAATGAGAATGTAAGTATCCTCCACCAGTCCTATGATTTTTCAAAGTAATTGTAGCTCCATAAGCCAACTGTCGTGGCATTGTTGCATTGTATAAAGAATTTCCTTCTAATAAGGACTGAAACTCAGAACTATAAAATCCATCTCCACTTCCACTAAAATATTTCTAACAATTAGAACATTTATTTGAAATGTACATACAATGAATGTACATACAATACATAAATCTTCTACCTTTTATTTAAAACAGTAAGATGAATATAAAAAAATAACATGTATGTTAATATTGGTAAAACAATTAGACAAATACAACGTGCTAACAATAGCTTGCCTACATATACCTGTAAAAAGTGTACATATGAATTTAAATAGTTAACTTTTAATAATTTATAAATTTAAGGAGCTTACAATAGATTTTGTGAGATCTCCTAATTCTCTCCATAATTCAGAAACAGTATTAAATCCCACTAATAAAACAACAAACAAACCAACAAACTTTATACTAATTGTACAAGCAAGAGAAATTCCAGTGAATGATAACCATCCCCACCATTTAATTGTAAATGGTTCATTGCGAAGAGAACTTGTATGAGCCATACCCCAAGTTGCACACATCATAAAACATAGTAATATAGGATCCAACAAAATATACTGGTTTAATGTTAGTAATCCCACATCTAAAATACATTAATTGATTAATAATGTACTTATTTCAACAAATGATTTAAGTATCATAAATACAATATCTACCAAATAAAATAAATAATGCAGAGAATCCTGCAGCTTGAATAGATTTTGTTAAGTCCCATACAATAAGATATGATAAAGGTACTATAGTTGCACCTAAAAATGTACAAAACTGAAACATAGGATATATTTATAAGATATTTATAAAATATTTAAAATTTAATTTTAATATATTTAAATTAAAATGCACTTACAATTCTCATGCCAACATATTTAACATTGTCAAACTTATCCCCTGGTTTTTCAAAGGGAAATGTTCCATCATAACCAGTTAAGTATCCAGATAATGCTATTAACATCTAAAATGAAATAATATAAATTATTAACATACAAATAAAAATCTATACACATGCCACTTACCTTTCCAAGAGGTGGATGAACATCAAAGAAAAATGTTCTATTTATGTACCAATTTCCCATTTTACCAAAATGAGTTTCATCCCAACTAAAAGATCAAGTATTTATATAAATTAACTATAAATTTAATATTATAATATTTTTAACAATTAGCTTACCAAACATGTTGTGGTTCTGTAACATTGTAAAACCTTGTTCCTGCTGTGAGTATTATAATAATTCCAAATAAAAGCCACCAATTCCTATATAAATGAATTTTGAAAATTTATATAAATAATTTTGTGTAACATTTAATGTAAATTATACTATAAATACATACAAATCTTTTATCTCTATTTTTTCTGCAGTTGTTGATAATTTATGTAAATTTATGTTTTTCGTTTTTTGTACATATTCCGAATTATTTATATTCTTCATATTCTTATTAATACATTTATAAAACATACTTAATTATGTATTATTTAATATTTTGTTATAAAGAACTAATCTAGAAACTTAAAATGCTTAAATTACATTGCGTATCACAATGTACATCTGTATTACTCCTTAAACTTTCAATTCTCTGCATCTGTAAAAGTACCGCTATATTTTCCAGGGACGTCGAAATAAGAAAATGTACCCTTACTTTAATTTATTATTAATTTATGCAAGTTAATAATCTAAATACATTTTCAAGTTACAACAAATTCATTTATGTTTAGCAAATAAAGAATATAACAATATTTTATTTAAATTTCACCTATTGGTTAAAATTTCCATTGTTCCCAACAAAACAGTTCGCTTATGTAGATTATGTATTTTAAATCGCCATAACTATTTTTTTATGGTTATTATTATACATATAGTGTATGAGATCCATTTTTGTAGATAAAGTATAATAATTAATGAGATTCAACAAATTCTTAATTATTTTTGCATATTTGTTATGTTATTATATTATAATTGTCTTCTGATTGAGCATCGAATGATACTATAATTTTCATGTTAATAAGATATTTATTTGCTTAATTTTATCAGCCGGCTGCATGTGTAGTTGTGAATAACCAAAGAATTCAAACTAAATAAAAATATCATTGCAATATTGTGATTTGTTATTTAAAAAAATTCATAAGTTTCTTTCGCTTTTGAAGTGTGCATAAATTGTCATTGGATTCTTTCGATAACTTTAAACAATTCAAATTCATCTTCCGCGTGCCAGAGAAGTGTATTATCATATATACAAAATGTAATATAGCAATTACGAACAGTGAAGAAAGAAAATATAAATAAAAGAAATTAAATGTTAAGTATATATGCTACTAATTGTACATACGTTTATATTTCACAAAAATATACTTATAGGTTGATGAATAATAAATATAAATAATTACTGTACGTGAAATTTATGATATAAAATGGATGCATTAAAAATATTTAGTTTGGAAGATACATTTCATAGAAAAATGCTTGCTGGGCCAACAAGTCGAAAAAATATACCCGAAAACATGTCATTATTAGATATACAATTAAATATAAGTACAAGTAGCACAACAAAAGGAACAGATTATGCATTAGAATATATACGAAAAGAAGAAGCTGAACTTTTACAGGTACAGTAATTTTCAATTTAAATATTATTTGGAATTCTATTTAATGTATTATATTTTTAGTCTTCTAATTATTATGATGCAAATAAACAAAACGACTTTGAAACTGTATCACAAGGAAGTGCCATACAAGATATTCAAAATGAAAAAACATTAAATATTTACGAAACATATCCATTTGCTCAGCATGCAAAATCTAATTTAATAATTAATTCCAAAAAAAATCAAATAGTGTCTATGATTGAAACTAATTCAGTTGTAGTAATTCAAGGTCCAACAGGTTGTGGTAAAACTACACAAGTACCACAATTTATTTTAGATAATTCTTATCAAAAAAGACTTCATTGCAATATTATAGGTAATTTTATTATACTTGAAATAACATATGTTTTAATTTATATAGAATTCCTTGTAGTACGTACAATTGCATTTTATAGTTACACAGCCTAGAAGAATTGCTGCTATAAGTATTGCAAAACGTGTGAGTGCAGAAAGAAATTGGCCACTGGGTACTCTTGTTGGATATCAAGTTGGTCTAATAAATCATGTGTGTAAAGATACACGTTTGACATATTGTACTACTGGAGTACTTTTACATAAATTGATAAATAGTAAAAATATGTTGGACTATACACATGTTATACTTGATGAAGTACATGAAAGAGACCAAGATATGGATTTTCTTTTACTTGTTGTTCGGAAGTTATTACATACAAATTCACGTTCAGTAAAAGTTATTTTAATGTCTGCTACATTTGAAGTAGAAAAGTTTGCTAAATATTTTTCTTCACCTGTGGGAAATGAACTTGTTCCTGCACCTGTTATTGATATTTCAAAGAAAACATATTTTAATGTTGGTATCTATTATCTTTGTCAAATGGGTGCACTGGGACCAGTAAATACTTTATATAGTTATTAAACATGATAGTATTTAATATTTAATGTATTTGGGTGTATTTATTACATTATATTTATTTTAGATACCTGAAGTTTCTGCTATGAAACCAAGTGTTACGAGAAGAATGATAGAGTTTTGTGTTAACCTTATGAAAGTTCTTGATGAAGTTGATATGAAAGCTGATGATGTAAATTATGATCCAAAAACAAATGTTTATGACAGACATGTGCTTCTCATATTTTTGCCAGGAATTCATGAAATTGAAGAAATGAATAGTCTGTTGTCTTTGCCCAAACATGAACAATCCAAGTGGGACATAGTAATATTACATTCATCAATTACAAGTGAAGAGCAGCAGCGAATTTTTCAAAAACCACCTTATGGTTATCGTCGCGTTATCCTATCTACAAATATTGCCGAAAGCAGTATTACTGTTCCTGATGTAAAATATGGTTTGTTTGTTTAATTACAATAACAAAAATACTTTATATAAAGTAATCTCCGATTTCATATTCTGTTTAGTAATTGACTTCTGCTTAACAAAGCAGCTTATTATGGATCCACAAACGAATTTTCAGTGCTTAGAATTAAGGTGGGCGAGTAAAGTAAATTGCGACCAAAGAGCTGGTCGTGCAGGACGGGTAATGGATGGTAGAGTATATAGATTAGTACCACAAGCATTTTATAAGGTAAATTTTGTTAGTCATTTTCATGTAACTATGTTAATGTGAAATGAAATATTTACAAAAATTACAGGATATTTTGCCACAAGAAGTATTGCCTGAAATATTAAGAGCTCCATTGGAAAATCTGGTTCTCAAAGCAAAGTTGTTAGACATGGGAGAACCTAAAGCTATTTTAGCACTTTCCTTGGACCCACCTGATCTTGGAAACTTAGAAAGAACAATATTAATGTTAAAGGAAGTAGGGGCATTAACAAATAAGTTCAATGAAATACAACCTTTTGATGGAGAACTAACAGACCTTGGTCGAGTTATGGCCAACTTACCACTGAATATTCAGCTATCGAAATTAATAATGTTAGGGCATATTTTTAGTGTTTTAAAAGATACAATAATTATCGCAGCTAGTTTGTCAGTAAAAGATGTATTTAATAATCCGTTTCAACAAAAGTTGTTAGCTTATAATGTTAGGCTTAGTTGGGCAGCCAATTCTTGTAGTGACTGTGTAGCTTTCATGAATGTATATAAAGTATGGATAACCGAAAAAGTTAATCGGCGATTAAATAATGATGCGGAAGAAAAAAAATGGGCAATGAGAAATTTTGTACAGATTAGAGTATTACGTGAAATTAAAGCTCTAGTAACAGAATTAACTACTAGATTGGAAAGATTAGGTATACAAGAAAGTGCTGGAATTAATAAAGTTGTTTGGAAAGAAGAAGAACGACCGATTGTTTTAAAAATTGCAATCGCTGGTGCATTTTATCCCAATTATTTTGTTAAATATGGATCAGAATCAGAAAAACAATTGAAAGAACATGCTGATGTGAAATTATTAGGTGGTTTAGATCCATTAAATACAGTATACTTACAAGGATGGCCTTTGAAACAACCTGGACTTTTATATGCTCGTAGGATACAAGATATTTTTAAGGATAATCTGACAACTATCACTGACAAAATGAATGTGTCTTTTGATGCTTCTTCTCGTATTTATATTCAATTTATTGAAAGAGAATCTAAAAAACAATGTAATAATATACCAAGAAAAATATCTTCTTCTGTCTATAAAGCAATTAGAATGAGACAGTGTAATATTCCTATAGAGATACCTATTTTAAATGAAGATACAGCCTGTCAGCGAGCAGAAAAATTGAACTTACAGAAGAAAGTCTTTTTTACACCCGAAAATTTAATAAAAAGCAAAATTAAATCTGAATTGCCAGGTTTACGAATAACCCGCATTCCTTTGCTAATACAAAATGTACGTATTTTTCATAAAATTACAAACTAATATAAATAAACAATGATTTATATTTTTCAGATAAAAAATCCTGGTTGTTTTTGGGCACAAATACGTAGTTCTACATCTACAAAAAGACTACATAAAATAAAATCGACTATTGAAAAGATAAAAAATCAATCGGAGACATTAAAAGTAATTCCAGATACTGGTACACTTGTAATTGCACCATATGAAGAAAATAATTTAAAAGCATATTTCCGGGCAGTAGTATTAGGCCATATAACATTACCAGAAATATTAGTGCAAGTATTTTTCATTGATTATGGTTATTCAAGCGAGTGTCGGTTATGTGACTTAAAACGTCTAAACTACGATTGTGATATCTCCGATGTTCCTGCATTAGCTTTTGAATGCAAATTAGCGAATATTGAACCATCAGGAATACATAATTTCACTGATGATTGGTCACAAGCTGCATGTGATTTATTTTGGACCTTAATTAACAAACCTGGTCAACTCATTGGTGATATTTATTCTGTTGTCAATAGCATAGTTATGATAGAATTGATGCATAAAAATGAAACAGGAGAAGAAATTAGTATAAATCAATGTCTCATTGAAAAAAGATTGGCAATAAAAAAGGAGGAAAACTATTTTTCACGCTTCAATCATAATTTAAGACTACAACAATCAGATTTATCAGATGAACAATGTTATCACTATGAAAAGTTACAGTACAATCAAGATTATATACCAGATATTTATCCAAATCCACCTGCAGTTACCGAATGCTGTACAACAGTAAATTTACGGGGTCCATTTTCACCTCTAGAACTTGAATTAACTCATCTTGTTGTAGCTGGTAGAGATAAAAAAGTGAATATGGTTTCAAATTCGGTAAACTCTGTTCTCCTAGATACCGACCCTGAAGATTTTTCTCAACGACTATTAGTGGCAGGATCTGTATCTCAAAGTGTACGTGGTCATAATTTAACATTATATAATACAACATTAATGCCACGTATTCCTGGATTAACTGTTTTACTTACATTAATTTTTACACCATACATGGAATTACGACGCAATAATTTTGGAACTTATTACACTGGTGCATTGTGTGGTTTAGGTTTTGATCCTGTAACTAAAAGAAGTCTTTTCCCAGAACATGATATAGAAATTCACTTTGATGTTGAAATTACTATAACTGACTTGCAATTTGTAGGTATATTGTCCAAAATATTTTTTTGATTTAAGTCTGTTTTGTTTATTTTTTTATTTATTTGTCAGATAAACAGATTGCGTCACTGGATGAATTTTGGAATGCAAATTAATCACCAATCTGAAGGTAGTAATAATATGGAAGAATTTATTATCTGTCAAAACAGAATAAAAAATGCATTGTTAAATTTAATTGAGAAAGAAAGAAAAGTTCAGACTCCTGAATTAATTAAAGATTTTGATAAGTGGAATTTGTATGATAAAAATTTATTACTTCATTCTAATAAGCCATCTATTATTACGAGTATATATAGATTACATAATGCATTAGAATTAGAAGAAACATCTGAACTGCAGGAAATTACAGAACATGTGATGAAATTGCGAGAATTATCAATTGAGTAAGTAAATTATTAACACACCTCTAAACTTTTACTGATTCATTTTAATTAATTCATATATATATCTTCTTTTAATATTATAGAGATCCTAGGAAACCTGAAAATACGAATATTCCATGCAAATTGTGTAACGTTGTATTAAGCGATATATTTGAGCTTCGAAGACATTTGTATACATTAAAACATAGGCAAAATGAAGATACATTAGGAATTAAACTTTAAACCATAACGTAATAAAACATATATAGTGATATTATTAATATTATTTACTATATATTTTTTATGTAATAGGGAGATTAGAAATATTAATACTATATTGACCTTATCTCGTATAAAACATTTTTTGTTATATGTTTATGTTTTCTTAGTAATTCAGTTATTTTGTTATGATAAAACAACATATTCTTGTTTTATGTTCTATATTTAAAAAACATAATGACTTCACTATTTTTTATAATGTCACAAAGTGATTACTGATATTCACTTCTACAATTACGTTTTGTATTGTATTTTTGTAAAAAATTTTTTAATATAAAATTTTTTAATATATAAATAAAAGTATTACATCTACTGTTCCAAACATATCTACAAATCTTGTATTTATACATTTTAGACGCAATATGGCGTTTAGTTAACGACATATGAAACACATTGTATTTTATCATTTTTTTATGAGATTGATAAATATTTTCAAACTGATATATGATAGTGACTGTAAAACATACAATTAATACAATGAGATACCTTAATTTAAGCATTTGTGACCAATATCCTAAACTTCTCGTTGAAGATAACGTGCACCAGGTTGAGTGTATAATAATCGTCCAGGAACATTAGCACCAGAGGCACTAACATAGGTACCTGGTGGTGGTGGATATGGTGCTGGCGGTGGTTGAGGTGCCCTTACTGGATATCCTGATGTTATTCCTCCAGTTTTTGCACCCTGTTATTAAATTTCTTGTAAATACAATGTATTACTATGTGAATATAGTAATATTTAAATATAAAAAACCTGTGGAGGTTGTTGAATGGGAATTGCTCCACCATGAATAGTAACATGACTATTTGGTCTTGAATAAAATTTATCTTCTGCATAAGCACCTTTGTGATCCAATGAATGCAAATTTGTAACATATGCTAATAAATGGAAAACATTGCAATGTCTTTATCAATTTATATAATTTTAGATTAATTAAAATAAAATATTTATACAAATATTAATATACCAGTCTGGTGTGTTGATAATGTTGCTCTGTTGGCCGTAAGATATACAGATTTAGTTGGTTCGGGTTCTCGGGACGGTTGCGAGGTTGGTGCAGAGTAACTATAAACACTTTGACCAGTAGGGGCTGAATAAAAATTGGACGTAGAATATTGATTATTCTCTGTAAAAAAATGCATAATGACAAAGTTAAGGATGTGAAGCACGAATCTGTTGTTAATGACATTGTAAATAAAGAAAATGAAAATTAAAGAAGGTTTATTCACTCACTGTTCCATAGAACAGCTCTGGAATCGCCAGATCTTCTAGCTGCTTCCTCAGATTCTATACAAGCACAAATATCTACGTTTAATATCCTCTTTTCTTATTTCTCATATATCTTTTGTAGTATTTTGATATACTTACTGGAAGGTGGAGGATTGTAACTTGGTATTGATGGTGTAGGTTTATATCCATAACCAGCATGATATGGTGAAGCTGTTGGAGGTGGCGAAGGACTATGTGTTCTCTTTAATGGCCCCTAAAAACAGGACCAATAAAGTAATTTAATTTTTTAGGAATAAATAAGCTTCATTCACTTACAGTTGGTAGTAAAGTATGCGTTGGTGCAACAGCTACTTTATAAAGTGGACTGCTGCTTCGTGGTAATGGAAGGAACAATTGTGGATGAACTACTCTAGAACTTGTTCCAGGATATCCTACTGCTGTTAAAACTTCTGGGCCTACACTATATAAGACAAATATTTAATTATAGCATATCATACAAACTATATGTATCTTAAGATATATAGTACAAACTTTGATTCTTTAATTAATTGTCGTCTTCTATTATCATCTTCATTTAAAACTTTCTTTAATTGCAAGAATAATTGATGTTTTTCATCTTTCAGTTGTGAAAGTTCATTTTCAAGATTAGATATTTGTTCTCTAGTTTCTCCTAAAGTCATTACATCTTGTTTTTGTTGGCGTTCTCTTTCTTTCCTTTGTCGTTCTTCTTCTGCATCTGCTTCTTGTTCTACATATTTGCGATAAAAATTTGGAAGAAGAATAAAAATTTAATAAAAATTTCTCGTAAAGAAGGTTACCTTGTTTTTTTCGTTGTCTTTCTCTTGTAATATGGGTCTTCAATGCTTGCCACATTTGTTCGCTACGTTGAGGAGGACCCACAATTACCGCCGGCATTATTAATTAATATGTTCCAAATCTTAAAACAACACAAATTTGTTACAATATCACAATAGATTCTGTCAAGACGAATTTTTTGTATACATCATTACACATGATATAGACAATTTGGTCACAAATGATACATAGTATAGATCTAAACATCGTACGAAACTTTCTGTTTCATGAACTGTAATACCAATCTTTAAAAAATATTTAAAATTCTAGAGTCTCATTATAATTCTTGTGTTATTTAATGGTTAGATTAAACCATTATTAAACCATTTAATCCTTAAAAAGGTAATAAATCTAATTTTTTATATAACACGAAGTTTCACAATTTTGTGAAATTTGTACTTTGTTTATGCTAAAAATTCGTGACACAAAGATATACTGAGTGTCAAAATCTATGTTACATCATATTTATGGTTCAAGTTAAAATTTATAGAAGCAAATATAGAGTTGTTTTCGTGTTTCTCTATTTTTGTTATTGAAATTACTGAAAAATATTTGTATTATAAAATGTACATTAATTACAATTAATAATATTAGCAATAAATACACAATATTTGGTAAGTTATATACTTTTTGTTATTAAATAAGTATAATCTGTGATTTCAACTCTGTTATCTTTATTTTACAATAAAAATTATTGTATTTATATTATAATTATAGCTACAAATATTTAAGATTCCAAACATACGCTGTACATATTTTTATGTGTGATCTCTTCATTTTATTTTTACTTTAAAAACTAACTTTAGCTGAGGTTAATGATCATGTAATTTATAACTTTGATGTGATGACTTTTTATAGCATTTAGCCCAAACAAGTACAAAGATTTTTAAGAATTATTGGTCTAAAATACGTTACTAGGAAATATGGCACATTATAAGGGAGCTGCCAGTGAAGCTGGTAGAGCAATGCAACTAATGAAAAAGAGAGAAATTGCTCAGCAAGAAATAGAATTAAGAAAAAAGAAAATAGAAGATGACCTAAAAATTCATAACATAGAGAACAAATTTGCAACACACTACAATGCTGTTGAACAGCAGTTAAAAACATCTACTATTGGTTTAGTTACCTTAAATGAAATGAAAGCAAAACAAGAAAATATAGTAAAAGAACGGGAAAGAAAATTAGCACAAAAGGAACGTGAAAAAGAACAGGAAAAAGAAAGGGCACTTGCTGCAAAACAAGCTGAAAAAAATAAGCAAAAAAAACAAATACAAGCTCTATCTTTTAATTTAGATGAAGATGATATAGAACTTTCTGAAGAGGAAACAGAATTAAAATCAGATACATTGAAAGATGAAGATATTGGACCAGTAGTGAAAAAAATTAAAAAGAATCCAGATGTGGATACAAGCTTCCTACCTGACAGAGAAAGAGAAGAAGAAGAAAACAGATTAAGAGAAGAATTAAGACAAGAGTGGGCTAGAAAACAAAATGCACTAAAAGAAGAAGAGATTGAAATTACTTTTAGCTATTGGGATGGTTCTGGGCACAGAAGAAGTGTTATTATGAAAAAAGGTAAAGGTTTAATTATTATCGCAAGTACAATTTTCTTTTTAATTAGAAGAATAATTTTATACTAATTGTTATTAGTTCGCACTGTTGGTAGGTAATTCTATTTATCAACTTCTTCAGAGATGTCTAGAAGTTTTAAGACGTGAATTCAGTGAACTTAAAACAGTTATGGCTGACCAGTTAATGTATGTTAAAGAAGATCTTATTTTGCCACATCATTATACATTTTATGATTTTATTGTAACAAAGGTAAATTTATTATAAACAGACTACATCCATGTGAAACATTGTAAAAATAAAAAATTGGTTAATTTTTGATCAGGCAAAGATTAATTATACTTAATTTCAGGTCTTGGTATGAAAGAAATAAACATATATTTCCCGCTAGTAGATGGGAACCTTTTGATCCAACAAAAAGTTATGACAAATATACAGTATCAGATAAAAATAGGAAGAAAGATAAAATTTAATGAAAGGTAAATTGTATAGGAAATAATTGTATAATAAAATTATCAATGCATATTGTGTTCACTAAAGGGAAGTTGTTATTTTAAAGCATTATTAATTTTGTTACAAGTATCATAGTATCATAATATTTAAAAAATATTAATATATATTTAATTACAGTCAACTGAAATTTTTATTTTTCAGTTTTTTAATTATAAAATAAAAATAGGCATTGCTTAAATTATAAGCTGAACATTATTTATCCTGTATATTTCAAATAACGCACTGAAATTTCATAAAGATATTTCATATATACTGTAAATACTATATTAATTAATATATTGATAGGGTTGTAATAATATGAAGCTAATTATACAAGTTTAATAAAATTATCTATTTCACATATTCATTTGCGTCTTCGATGACATTTAACAATGGATTTATAATATGAGCTTCTTTTAATATTTTATCTGTAACATCATTATCAATATGCTGTAGACTTTGTATCATTGATATACTGTCAAATGTCAAAATTAGACTATTTGTATTAAATACATTATTTTGTTTTAAAAGTTGGCTTTCTTCATTAGATAAATTTTTCTGAAAAATTTGTTACTTTAAAATAATATTTTGATTAATAAACTTTTGGTAATTATATCATTAACTTTTTCCTTTACATCTAGTAACATTTTTTTTATTTTTGTATTCACTATATATAAATTACTATAAGAATCTTGCATTACATTATTTATATCTTTAATATAACGAGTTGAATTAATCGACTTCCATTCGTCCTTTTCGATAAGGGATAATGTTTAAAAAAGGTTAATGAAAATATTAAGATTCCATAAGATACAATTATTGACTTGACTTACTTTGTTATCAAGATTTAAAAGATTTACGTCATCTTTACTTTGCAATAACCTCCATTTAGAATTATCAAGTGATATGTATGGTTCATTATTTTTTTGAAACTCTATATTTGCAATTTTTGTTAAAGTTTTTAATTTTATAAATAAATATAATATTAGACATACACGTTTAAAATACATTCTACCTAAAACATTCGATAATAATGTTTCGTTTGTTCAAAAATACTCTGAGCAAGACCATTATTATTGAATTCTTTTTCGCATTATTCTTATTGTCGTACCTGTACTCGGTGTTGTATAGGTCGGGCATAAGCAAAAAAATTGTCGCGTATTTTCTGCTAGTTTACCGGTTTCAGTTGGTTTCGATGCTAAAATTATTTCTAGCCGCTTCCGATTTTCACATTGGTAAAATGAAGTGTCTTCGATTGCTTTCTGAAGCACGATTAAAACATTTTCATTTATAACAGTAATAACAATCATTTTTTCATCTTATTGTAAGACGTAATTTACTTTTACTTTATCATTCATTGCACATATAAGATTATCAAGATTTTTCATTTCTAAAATTTCCTTCTGTATATATTCATCTTTCGCATTAATATTTAAAATATTAATATCATCTTCCCATTCATCTTCGAAAAATTCCTCTTTGTTATATAGGAATTCTAATTAAATACAATTTGTTTTATCGAATTTGTGTAATGTACGGTATATGTATATAACGAAAAATCGTCGAATAAGGATAGCAAAAATGCTGAAATGTGTAACAGAAGCATCACATCGAATATTTAAAATATTATTTTTGGTCAAATAATTATTTCATAATAATTACTTTCCAACATATGTTCTGGTAAGAAAGTAATAATGATGATAAAATTATCTCAATGTGTCAGCATTTGTTTGTTTCTCCTTTTATATCGTCACTTGAGTTAGGTAACATGACAGTACCTCTTTTCGCCTTCCATGAGATTTCCGTATTTTCGATTTGGTCTTCTTCAGTTGAAAAATCAGAAAAGTCTTTTGTCATAGAACTTACAGATGATTCCATTGTGGAAAGACGATCAGTCGTGACAAATTCCATTGATGGCGAACGACTTAAAGTTTTGGATGAAGTATTGTCATATTGTGTTACACTTTTAAGTACGAATTGTTTTTCATTAATGCTATCTTTGAAAGTACCGACAGAATAGTCAGACTTTGTTCTGGTTTCAGCTGAAACGGGTAAATGACCTCGTTGATCTACGCTGTGGTTAGCCGTAGAAGTGCGAGACGATTGAATACTATTGATTTTACGACGCGATCGTAATTGCATTTTACATTCTTCTTCATCACTGCTACCCTCCGTATATAATTCTTCCCCTGAGATCCATAACTCTTCTTCTTCCTATGAAGAAGTTAAAATTCGATTTATTCAGTCGGTAATCATTTATTTTTCCAATTATAAGTGTTAAGTAGAAACATCGGAGAAATTTTTACTTCACCTCTTTTTTGATTTTCGTAAGTTGTGATTGTACCGGAATTTTCACTGATTGTCCCTGCAATTTTGGGTTGCTTGTTGTTTTGTTGGCCATTCTACTATTAAACATATCACGACGCTATATAAATAGATACTTTTGCAACTTAGTTCATGCGAATATTGTATAGGATATTACGTATATGTTTAAAATTGCGAAGACCGCTAACAAGTAAAAGGTTAATTCAAAAAATTAACCGAGATATAATAATCGGGATTTTTCTTGACATATCTGAAGCTACCATCGGTTCTTCTCGATGTTTCCGAACAAAAAGAAAACTGGTGAAAAATTGAATATGATTATGTTCAAAGAGTTTCATAAATTTAATTTTGAATTTAAATTAATTCAGTACATATATATGACATGTCCTTGAACTAGGAAAATCTGGAACGGGGATGAAATAGGTCAAGGTTATATGTCATAAGTGCAAGCGGTATCTAAATTCACGATTAATGAAAATTGCTATGATTTAAAATTTGCTATAAAAATATCTTTTCTGATAACTTATCGATATTATCATATATCAAGGACATATATAACAAATTTATCAAATTTTTATTTATTTTTATTTATTTATTTAGTTTTTAATAGTAGAAATTTTGTTTAGGTACTTTTTTTATCTATATAAGAGATATATAAAACTGTTAATATTCATTTGACAGATAATATGTATTATCAAGTTTAATACAAATTTATACGAGGTAATTGTTTTATACATACATACGTTTTAAAATATTCAATCTAAAAATTTTTATTTCCAAATCACGAATTTTTGTATAATTTGATGATTTAAGTGATTAATTGACAAAATTTGAAAACATTACCTCGATCTTTCCGGTCTCACGCTTCTTGGAATTAAGTACCGTGAGGAAGGACGAGATTCACGTGGTGACTTTCTGTATAATTTTCGATTATGCAATGACTCTCAATAATGACAGGTGATATCAAGCTGCATTCTGTTGTATGCAATTAATATAATTTAACTTTGAAATGTTTGTTTATTACATTATTAGGTTTATTATAGCATTATGTTTATCACACATGTGATGTTTTATTATTCTTGTGTTATAAATCGATTCACGAGACCAAAACGTTTTGACGTTTCTTTCTACGGGTTTCGTGTTGTGCTATATTAGTAAGTACTTGAAAGCTGTACGAGATACTGCACACTGGCTTTGAAATCGCGACAGTAGCGGCGCCTATGGCCACATACAGCTCGATATATAAATAAACGTATTAGCTCGTTTGTGCGATGTACCGTGTGCTTCCCTACTGTAAATGTGAACTCACTTCTTTTTAATCCTCTTAGTCATGATTTTGTTAAAGGAGGGAGGATGTGGAGAAAAACGAGACGGCTATTTGAAACAAACTTTTGAATAATTTTAAATTGATAGTGATAAGCTGATATAAATAAAAATATTATTTTATATTTAACAATAATTCTTATTGCATGAGTATCACATAATACTAATATTGTTATGAAATTAAACTTTCAAAATTGTCAGTTATGATTATACAGTTGTAGGTTTAATACAAGTAGGGTCCATGTATGTAATATTTTCAGGAAAATGGTCCATTATAACAAACCTTTTTTCATTAGGTTCACTTAGATTGTCCAAGAATCCAAACCAATAAATTACAAGTCCTGGACCAAATCTATTCCAGTAACTTAGAAATTGTTCTTTGATGTATTTTTGATGTATTTCTTTATTCCCAAATCTTGCCTTAGATTCTATCCAGTTAATTACACAACCATTTACGGCAATTGGTACCTCGAGCTTGAAATCTGGAGTTTTATCATATCCTCTTGATCTTAAATGTTCTTCATTACGAAATGCAAGATTTCGTTCAGTTAAGTAGTTTTGTACCTTTAGTTCATATTCCTGACCTACAGAACTATAAATTTAATTTATAAAGATATGCACAACTGGCTATTTTACTTAATATTACAATACATACAATCCAATAGCAACTGATATAGAACCATACACGTTGTCATATAATATACACTGTAAAACATTATATACTTATATACATTATAAACATTACTTATATATTATGCAGGATATTTGATTTTTAAATTATTAATAAATTTTGGATTTGTTACCAAATAGACCTCATATGCTAGATCCTTGTCTTGTATGAGAGTAGTATCCTTAAATAATTCATTAACTTCATTTTGGGAAACTAAAAATACACATAGTATTTTCATTAATTTAAGAATAACAAATTGTGTTATAAAATATCTTAAATCAAATGTAAATTACCATATTGTCCACAATGTTTTTTAAGAACATTTTTAGCTAATAGTGCAGGTGGTACACCAATATCTTTTGCCATTTTTAATAAAATTCCAACAGGTTCTCCATTTTGCACAGCTTTTTTGTAACTGTTATTTAAATTATTTAATAATATACATATTTTATAACACTAAAAGAAAAATACAATACTCACGTTTCATAATAATTCTTATTATCCCCAAATAATTTGCTATGATTAACTTTCATTTTATGTTGTATTTCTAAAGATAATATGCTATATAATGTATATACTGAAACACTAAATGAAACAAAAATAAATATTTGATGTACTAGATAATTAAATCAAAGTATTTATAGTTCTATAATAAAATAATCTTACTCGCTATATTTCTCTTTTAAAACATCTTTACAATCTTTTGATAAGCCACGAAATTTTCGAATTGTTTTCACTATATCGTTGTATAATTCAGGCTTCATATTGGACTTTTATTTCGTAAACTTAGAATAAATTTGTTTAAATAGTTTCAACTTTCATTCGTCATTATTATAAAATATTTATATTTGCATTAATATTACTCTATACATGTACAATATTGATATTTGCTGACAGAAACTACATATATATATTTTACATATCATTCATTTGAAGTTGACGCTTTATTCAATTTTTGAGGGAAATTTAAATGTATCATTTGAGATTATGTTTTTGTTGTGCATAAATAAGAAGATACTCATTATTATAATTAGGTTTATAAAATATTAAAAACAATTTTATTCTTTTGATTAAGATATTGATTAAACTTAAAATAATTTACAATGAAAATGGAATACATTAAAAAACTGCTACTGAAAGTACCTACTTTCACTTTGTATAAGAAGGGGTAGTAAGGTTAGAGAATCGTAAAGCTTGGTAGGTGTTATTTTCTTTCGATTTACAGGAGAAACGCAAATGTTACTTAGACAAAAATTTGTAACGAAAAACGTAAAATATTGAATATTTTGATTATTATGAATTACTCAGACAATTAATTCGAAATAGTATTGTTTTATATATTTAAAATATATGACAGCTTTACCCATATTTAACCTTTAATTTATTATTAACTCGTGTATCAATCTCGTATCTTAATTTTGTAAAAATTATGAGTAAAAATAAAGTATCTACAAAAATATGTAATGTGCAACATGAAAATAGTAAAACTAATAATGTACAAGAAGGTAATTTATCTAATTTCTGTGAATAACAAATTAGAACCATTGCAACTGTTAGTGTAAATTTTTTTGTTATAGTTTCAGTAAAAATGAACATGAAGGTTGATGTAGGAAATGATTCTCCTCAACATTCTTATGATTCACGTGTTTATGGTCATAGTACACCAATTCAAAAGAGAGATTATGTATTTGACATAGAAGATTCTCCTGAAATAGATTATCGATGCAGTCCAATTTCAATGCCTTTTACACAGGATGGAGGTAACGAAATTGCTTGGGATTGGCAGACCTCTGTAAATAAAGTTCATGATAAACCTATACAATCAAACAATCATATTGAAACTCCCAAAAGAACTAAACAGCTACAAAAGAAACGTAACTCTAATTCTCCTTTACTACAAAAGCCATTAAAAAGGAAGCAAGTAAAAATGGAAAATATAGAAAATATTGGGAAACTGACAGCTGAATTAAAAGCTTTAAGTGAAAAAATGAAAAGCATACAAGAGAATTGTAATAACCATATGGTTGAAAATGAAAATGATTTAAAATGTGAAAGTAACAGTAAATTGTTGTTAGAATCAGATAGCGAAAGCAGTGATGACATAATCATAGAGTGTGTTGTTAATAGGAATACATCAAAAATAAATTCTAGCACTGTTAATAGTAATAACAAAAAAATTACAAATTATGAAGACTTATTTGATGATTCAATTGATGACTCAATGGTAAGATGCAGTCAAGAAATCGAAGAAAAATTGAACTTATGTAAAGATAAAGTGAATAATACAATGCAATTATCTACAGTAAGTGAAGAAAAGGAAACATCTACATCTGAAAAAGAAATTCATTACCTTACTGCACCGAATATCTCTACAGAATGTTCTAGAAATTCAAGCATTTCTAAAACTTCTTCAACTAATACAAGTGGTTATTTAAAAACATATTCAAATAATTCAAATAAAATAAATTCCACCTTAAATGTTTCAATGTCAAACTCAAAAGTTATCAACAATAATGTCATAAATGTAACTCATGGAAACCAAATAGTAGAAGACAAAAGTATGTCAGATTTTCCAGATGATTCTTTCGATGACTGTTTGGCAACTTGTATAGAAGATGACAAATTATTATCTAAATTGTCAGAGTATGATTTCAGTCCTTCAAATTCAGGTCATAATACAGAAAATTTAAAAAAAATATCGAAACACATTACTTCTAATACAGTAGCTAATAAAACGACAAACAATTTTCTTTCAAAACTAGTGGTTCATAATAAGGGAGAACTTATTACAGATGATTTGGTAGAGGAAGTTACGATTGTAATGGATAAAAAAACAATACAAAATTCTTTTCCTAGCAAAAATTCTTTAGAAAACAGAAAATTCTTTAAAACAAAGAGTTTATCAGATCAATGTTTTTATCAAAATAAAAATACTAATATAAACAATAAAACAACAAATGCATTCAAATCTGAAAAACGGTATCAATCTAATTTGGTTACTCCGTCAGTAAGTACTACATTTCCTATCGTAAATGGTCAGAATCCATATAAAAATAATAATTTTCCATCAATTAATGGCATGGAAAATGCAAATAAACTTAACAGATTAGACGAAAAAGAAGCTGGCAACTGTATTGTTAAATACAAATCTACTAGCAATTTATCTAATATAAAGGAAGTAAAAGAATCACAGTCTGCACAATGTACTCCAGAAGAAATAGAAAGAAAGCGATTAGAAGCGAAGATGAGACTCGAAGCAAAGCGAAAATTTCAGCAAACGAACACAAGGTTGACTGGTATTCCATCCGAAGCTCCCGTGAATAAATATGTAAAAAGGTGATAGATTGGTATTTTTCACTCAGTGGAGTTAATGAAGTTATTTTTTATAATACTATGTTGTTATATTTACAACTATTGTGCCTATTCTCCATATCACTGTGATTTGAAATGTGTCAAAATATGCATTTGCTTAATAAAAAAGTATTTTTTTAATACATTATAAAGAAATAAATTTTAAGTACTATCTAAACTTGTATTAATCATGTTAATAGTTTTAATTTATTCTTGGAAAAATTAATATTTTTTTCTAAAGTATACAGTTCATAAATTATAATCGTCATATTAAAATACTATGAATATGTTATGTTGTTTTCTACATATATTTATTTGATCATAATATCTATTATAATATGTACCAATTTTGTACCTTAGGTAATAAGTTCAGGAAATGGAAATAAATGTCGAATCGTTTTGTAAATTTGTTTATAATGATATTTTTATTTAAGGATGCATTTTTAAATCATATCTTTATTATAATATAATATACGTTATTACCATATTTTTTTTAAGTATAGATATGCATAATAAAGAGCTATTAGATTGTTTAATTTACTCGTGTATGTACATATTAGATGTAAAAACCTACATAGTATTCAATTTTTTAAAAATTGCATACTTAAATTATATATTTTAGAAAGGTATTAAAATATATAGGAAAATTATTCGTTCTAAGAATTAAAAAGTTAAAAAATGTCTAATTACATATGAGCTGCTACTATTTGAAGCAGTAAGAAACCGCGCGAAATCGGATACATTCAAAAACAATAACATTAATATGATTATCAAAAAATGCTAAGGTAAACTCTCTTAAATAATTATTAATAGCATAAGCAAGTTATATAAGTCTATCATAACACAGTATAATGATATATCACGTAAATATTTAGAAGAAATTCTCACCGCGCATGTTTAACAGACGGGTGCCATTACTCGAACGCGCCATTTAATCGATACACCATGTGACGTCAAATGAGAGTATTTCCGCTTCGCACACGTGATGCAAATTCGTGGTCAGTAATATACATATTTTTTTTAAACATGTATAAATTTGTACGTATTGAATTTCAAAAATTTGAATACATAACACTTCAATTCGTTTTACGAACTTAACGATTGCGCATGCGTCAACAGTTCCCACCACAAATGTCTGGCGAATCGGGAGCCATACCAAACGTGTATATCATTCTCTGATTGGTCGAGCAGTTAGATCGGGAAATGGTAATAAGCCAGTCGGCCAGCGACAAGCATGGGGAAAGCACGTGCCATTTATATTGTTGCGCACGATTCGGTGAAATTATACGTCGCCTCGCACGATTATACCACCACCCCAACTGACATTCTCACCGCTAGTGAGACGAACGTTGTCGGTAACGCCACTAGAGTCGCTACTACCACCGAGAAAAGGCCATCGGCTTCCCCTTCCGTGGAAGTGGTTGATAGCTCGAAAATCACAGTACCATCGCGTACACCGAGAACAGTGCCCACGAATGCGAAATACATCAGCGTCCGTCGCCGGCCTGTCACGATGCTACTCGCGGTGATCGCGCTCCTCTGCGCCGGTAGCAGTGCCGAGGTGTTCACTAACACGTTTCTCGTGAAGATGAGGCAGCCTGCGGAGAGACACATTGCAGATCGCGTGGCTGCTAGGAATGGATTCGTCAATCTTGGACCGGTAAGATGAAACAAATAATATTTTATTTTCTACGAATAAATGTCTCCGTTGCAAAGAAAACGAATCGTCATATGACTATCACAAAGAAGATGAAACGATTTTTTTTACTAAACATAGTTCACTTCAACACGAGATACATACGTACACAAAATACGAACACAAAGGACGAGCTACATTTTTTTAACGAGTATTTTGATGTTCAATTAGAATAGAAAACGGTGGAGTTTATCGTGAAATGACTTCCGCGAGTTTCAACGAACTATTTTGCAATAGTGTTAGCGTACACAGCACGAGCTCTTGACACTGACATATATCGTTGAATGTAGTACGTAAACGGCACTACCGCGGCAAGGAAATTGCTTATCTGGGCTGAAACAGTGTGGCTTGGGGCGCGGATGGGGTGCACACGCTAGGATGAGAATGAAATCTCTTTTGAACGATCGATAAGTTTATACAGAAAAAAATACTTAAGAATAAAGCCATTGTTTATATATATCTATTCAGGCTTGGGTCGCACTTGAAAATTCTTCGACGCAGTAAAACCGCCGCGGCGTGTACAAGTGCATATGCACTGTTTCTAACCTAAAATTTAACAAAATTTAATAAAATTTGATAAAATTCAACAAAATTTAATAAAATTTATTAAAATAGTTTAATCTGAAGCGATTAACTTGGATTGTTCAATTTGTTTAAATTCTAATGTCGAAATTTATTTAAAATAAATTTCTACTTTTTATTTCGCTGAATTAATCGATTTAGCGAACGGATGCTGATCATTTTCTCCATGCTTTTTAAAAATTCGATAGATCGATAGATCACCTGATATGGTTCGTTTCTTATCGATACGTGGCTCATTTATTTGTTGGAAAATCTGCGTTGGTCCCGTTTATCCTTGTTCCGCTTTACCATTGATTTATATCGAATCGAACTTGTTATCGGTTCTCTGCATGAACGACCGATATTCGCCGCGAGTTTAGATCTATCAGAGGCATTGATTTCGTGCCCGTTGTTACGAATACCCGCATTATCGCAGAAACGTGTTCGAAACAGTTGGCCGACGTCAGAAACACGTCGGATACGTGTTAACGATAAGATTAACTTCGCTCATAGTCGGTGAACATAGAGGGCGAACTTTCTCCAAGATCGCGCCATTTTTACCATTTTTCCATTTTTCCCTTTTTCTTCTCCCCCGATATTTTTTATCGAAATATTAAAAAGATTTCATTCGTCGAGTTTTTATTTACTATTGTCAGCATTCGTTGTGCGAATTTATCGGTGTATCCCGATTTCCGACTGGCTTTAATCGAAGGGAAAACCTCAGTTTGTGGTCAGACAGCGCAACAGTGAAAGCGTCGCGGCATGGTCCGACGCCTACGTGATAAACTCTGTGTAGGCATTGTCCAATACAGTCAGCTTTTTGCCTGTCTATTTTTCCCTTCAATACACCGTGAACAGTGTCGTTTTACGAGGAAAACGACATTCACGCTAAAAGGACCCTTCTGGGAAGAATCCACAGTGACGACGTCGAATGAATGGACGTTTCGCAGATGAAATGTCCCCTTGTTACACGAATTTCCCTTATTTCGTTCCCGCAGTCAGCTAAATCCAGGTATTACATTTTTAAACATCTTTTTTCCCCTTTCTTCATCGCAAATTTCCATCCAATTTTGTTATTGTTCATTAAGCAACGTTTCCCATTTTGCGTTCGCAGACCGTGTGATTACGTTGAGCGAATTCCCGAGAATTTGCCTGCAGCTAGCAACGAGTGAAGTTTAAATAAGAATCCCTGCCGGACGTTAACGAACAGCATCAGGGTAAACGCTTAAAAAGAAGCGAGGTCACCTGCAGTTGGTGCGAGGCTAGAAAACTCGACGGCGAACTTCCTCGAGGACTATAATTACTGCCATGAAGTCTGAGAACGAGGAAGATATCTCCGCGAGGTTGAGACGAGGGAGACATTGGGCGTTTGTTTCTGACGTTTTACGACAATGCAAACGGTTCTGGGAGTTCTATTAAAATGGCACAAAAGCGGCCTCCAGAGGAAAGAGACGACCAGCAGAATGGCGAAGATACGCTTGAAATTTTTGTTCCTTCTTGCGAAACGGCAGTCGAGCAAGCGCCTACCATGTCGGATAAATTGCGTTAGTCTTTGCCCGACGTGACGTCCGGGGGTTATTTCCTTTTATTAGGTTCGCTGGACTAAAGTTACCGACTCTTCTTTACCTTGGAAAACTATTCTTTCCTTCATTGTTGGGTCTTCCATAATTGTACTCCCGTTTGTATCTCGCGATACCCCGTGGAACGTGTCTCACTATTTACTATCGTCCTCGAGGAAGATCTGTTTTATCTTATTTTGTAAATTTTCGGTTGTGACACAACTGAAAAATCAGGAAAACTTTGTAGAAATATTTTTCTTTTATTTTATTCGTTTATCTTCATCGTTATACCATTATTATACGCTATATTTGAATTGTTAATGCGAAGGCACGTGTTCTTGAAGTTGGAATGTCTAATAATGTGCAAAAATTGTATGAAAAATTATACTAGAAACGTACGTTTTTGAGTTGTGTCACTTTGTTAGCGAGGATAGGAAACGTGGCTAGGAATTGACTGTATTATAGTGTATTTTACGTTTTCTACAAACGAGGGCGACTTAAATGTTCGTTGCAGTTACTTTTAGCGCGAAACTTTCTCGTCGGTTCGTTGCAAGTCCAGGCTTTATCTAAGGGGTTTAGCTTAGAACTTCCCTCGGCTCGAAATATCCGTTACACTCAGTTAGAGCAAATCTGCTTAGTTTTACGGTTATGTACACGTGTACGATGTGCTGGTACACAATGGCCAGCGATATACGTTTAGGATAAAGGTTAGTTTACGTACAGGGTGTATAAAAATTATATGTCGCGCTCCGACAGCGTGGCTCTACGTTCTCGAGTCGATAAGAATCTGTTAAAGAAACTCCACGATTCAACAATTCTAAAATATTCTTTTGAAAGCGTTGTAAATGAACAAGTCACTTGTCAAGGTTCATTCGATACATGCATCGAGGTCGCATCAACTTTGACGCTGTCGATATATGTATCGAGTGCAGTTCTTGACTATGTACATGTGTATATATATATATTATGGATCGAGTGATGATACAAGCTTTATGCGCAATGCTAAAAGTCAGGAATGTAATAAGTTTGATGTAATTTTTCCCAATTTATCACTCAGTATTACGCATAATGACCTGTTATTACCTGCTTGGTCCATAGGATATATGTAAGTGCATACGGTAACTCGAGTGACAGGAAATTCGATAATTTCGCTGGAGGAAAATCTCGGGAAACGCGTTTGATTTGGCATCGTGTATCTGCCATTTCGTTAATGGGCCCGCGTCACTCGTTACGTTTGCTAATTCCAGTATTATCCGCGACCGTGTCGTGGACGCCTTGTAATTTTATACGTACCATCGCGTTCGTCCGTCTATCTTTAGTCCATTATCAGATTTACTAGTCGTCCTACGCGATAGAAAGCGTATTCTAATAATAAGCCATCAAACGTTCCGTTGTACTTTCATTAAGAGTCGTGTTACACCGACGCCGGAAAGCCAACGAGATAGTCGTACGTCCTCGCGGAGAATCCTGTCAAACGATCTGAACATAGTCTGTTACTCGGTAGAACAGTTGTCAAAAGCGATTTCTGACGGTTTCGAAAGCCAACCGAGCGGAAAGTTTATTCGAAGCTCGCGGTGGGGTTGCAAAGGCAATTGAGTGTAAAGTCGAAAATATTGGGCGAGATTGGCGAATATCGCAGCTCGATTGGTCGTTTGATCTCGTCCAGGGGATGTAATTTATCCGGCTGCCAGGGAATCGATTTCTTCTTAAACTCCATATTTACAGAGTTCCGTGACGTTGTTTTATCTGATCGCCGGGTTTCCCGGCCGCCTCGTGCGATTAATCGTCCCGTGACGTACGCGTTGGATTATTACAGTGATCGATCGTATCCACCGACCACCGATTAGGTCCGTCATCGTGGGCCACGCGATGGATTTCGCGAGGATGGAGAGAATAGAAGGCACAGGATAACGAAGCGAAAGAATTTGCGCCGGTGATGTCCTGCGAGCGAAATCTCCTCCTATGGAAGAAAGAAATCGCATTGGGAGAGAGAATGAAAATTGCTGGCGAATCGAATAGCTTCACCGAGAATAATAAAAAGATTAGCCGAGAGAAGCCGCGTGGAATAATCATGTTAAATAGGTCGATCGATCGGAATGTTGCGGTAACGACGCTAACCTTTCGATTCAGCGTTGCAAAACTTGAACGAGACAAGGGTGAAAATCCTGTTCCTCTCTGTTTCCCCGTGTAACTGTTCGGATGAAGGAAAAGAAGAGGAAGGAAAAACTTTCGCGCTGATCTCGGTCTACAAACTCCGGCAATCTTCTTTACGTTTACATAAGCACGTTCTCGACCCAAGGGAAACTTTGCTTGGAATACAATGTGGGGAACTAATTATACCTCTTTATTAACGAGCAAGGTTTGTTAACACCTTGACTAACAGAAATGTCAAATGTCGTGCTGTGTTTTTAAAACGGTGGTCATTGGGGGTGTTAAAAATTCGTCTCTTATATTTGGCAATTAGACACGGGTATACTATCCATATTAACTCCATGTTAAATCATATTAACGATGTTAAAACTCATTATTAACATCATGATGTTTCTTGTAGAATTTTCAATAATTTTTTGCGGGATATTTAATACTTTATATTAATAAATTTAACCCTTCAGTGCACGAGTCTGCGTGAGCCTCGGTCACGATTAAAATCGTTATACCGTGCCCCATTCTTACATTTTATATTTTTCACTGTGATCAGAATGTAAGATATAGCGCGATAAATGTAAAAATATGTATCTTTATGCAGCTAGGAAATAATTCTATTTAAATAGCAGTTTGTACATTTTTAACCGAGTAAGTTGGGAGAAAGACACGCGTTAAGGGGTTGAAATAACACCATTTTAC